TATCGCTGTATGTATTAAATGGCCAACTATATGGCCTAGGAGACAAATTCGTTAAACTTCCCGTGCTCGAATTGGTATCACTAAAGTGTTATGATCATTTCGGCCTATCCCAGCCATCGTCAGACACTTGGGCTGATACAAATTCAAACTCGGAAAGTAAAAATCTTTACACATTTCGCATAGCATAAAGGATACAGAAAACGATTATTCATATCGTTTCGTTCACGGCCTTCAAAATAGAGGGCGCCTTTATAAGCTAACTACACGGTAGTGAAGATTGGGAGACATTCGTTTTACTTTCCGAGTTTGAATTTGTATCAGCCCAAGTGTCTGACGATGGCTGGGATAGGCCGAAATGATCATAACACTTTAGTGATACCAATTCGAGCACGGGAAGTTTAACGAATTTGTCTCCTAGGCCATATAGTTGGCCATTTAATACATACAGCGATAGCGGCTTTCGCTAAAATATTCAATTCTTTACACATTTCGCATAGCATAAAGGATACAGAAAACGATTATTCATATCGTTTCGTTCACGGCCTTCAAAATAGAGGGCGCCTTTATAAGCTAACTACACGGTAGTGAAGATTGGGAGACATTCGTTTTACTTTCCGAGTTTGAATTTGTATCAGCCCAAGTGTCTGACGATGGCTGGGATAGGCCGAAATGATCATAACACTTTAGTGATACCAATTCGAGCACGGGAAGTTTAACGAATTTGTCTCCTAGGCCATATAGTTCTGTAAACTTGTTGACAAATATCTATTTTTCATTGAGTCACCCGTATCAACAGTTTAGGGATTTGCATACATAATGTGCTATCAATATGATGGAGATGGACTATAATAATTTATTGTATTTAAATAATAGTATTTATTGTCTTGATGTGCAAATATCCATTACTGAGAAACAAGCAAGTCATTAAATTAGTGAAAATAATATTTGAGGTTGAATCTATGACATCATAAGTGGTATGAAAATTATTCCAATTAAAAAATGAAAGAATGGATGTTATACTGTAAATATAAGAAATAAAAGTGTAAAAAATGATATAAATGGATGATATATAAGAAAAACTAAACTGAAATCCAGTAAAATTGAAGGTAAAATTAATTGAGTAGGTATATTTAAAAGAATGGTTGACCATAATACCAAGATACTTAACTTCCCGTACCGATTTCAGATTGACTATATCAAAAAAATATGTATATCGGAAGTAGAAGATGTAAATGTCAAATTGTCAGAAAACTTAGCATGTAAAGAAGCAATATTAGTATAAAAAATATTTATCTTTTTTTACGACATTTTGTTGGTTAGTAATGATAATAGTTGGAACTTTATTAATATACTTTATATAAAAACTAAATACGTTTTTTACAGATGTATTATTTGTAGATTGTAAATTTTATGACATCCTACTTTCAAAACAACAATTACGGTATCTACTATTCTGTAAGTTTTAGCATAGCCAGTCAAAATTCAAACCGATAAAATTCTTAATAAATATTGTTGTAATATGCCAAAGTATTGTACAAAGTAATTGATCCTTGTTAGTATGACGTTTCGTTTGAAGCGTTTCGAAGCCGAAACTAATGCCATCTATCGATAATAAATCGACTCGTCCAACGAAGACTGTACTAACTCAGTTTTTGGCGTTTTTGAGTTACACCCCCGAAGAATAAAGTTCTAAGTTAATTTGACCATGTTTAGGCAACCAATTTGGCACTTCAATATTGTACTACAACAACGAAAACTATCCTATCATAGTCTTCCTCGGCATTCCGAACGGAAGCGCCGTTGTCTCGTTCGCATTTTGAGGTTAAGTAAAGTACGCCGGTGGTACGCCTACATGACCAACGGTGTTTACGTATAAAAGTTGTACAGTATTGCTATCAAAAATAATACGTTTGAATAGAGGGTACATTTTTATAAATTTCAATAAATATCCAGGATGTATTCAAGAGGTCAATTCATGGTAAATTTAGTAAGGACAGCTAACAAGCGAGAAACAGATTCTCGACAGGCGCATTGTTCAAGAGGTTAGTACATTTTTAATATGTATAGAAACATGAATTATTTATACCTTTTTTTAGAAACAATTTGTGATAACCCGGACCTAAATGTAACCAAAGAAGTTATATCTACAAATATCGAAGCATCTATAGTTTTGTTTTACTTTAAAGAAGTAAAGATTCATAATGTAACATGCATCGTCTTTTGTTTTCGGAAACAGAACGAACGAATACAGCTAACGAAAATTTTGAAGTTCATACTGAAGACTCTTTTCATGCAAGCTCAGATAGTGACCCAGATTATTTACCTTCAGAAGATGATAATAAGAAAATTCCATATGATGATACGAAGGAAAATGAGGAACAAATAAGTAAGTGTAAAAAGAACAGGAAAAGTAATACTAGAGTTAAAGTGGGTCGAAAACGAGAAAGAAAAAAAGAAGAATGAATTGATGTAAAATCTAAAACTGGTCTAGATTGTGGGTTGGAACATACAAATCGACAGGGAAAACTGGTTAAGGCAAAAAAAATAGGCGAACCTTGCCAACAAACATGCAGACTTAAGTGTACACAAAAATGAATCAAGAAATAAGACAGAAGATTTTTAAAGACTTTTGGAACTTGCAAGATCATACAAGGCAATGGAACTTTATTGTACAGCATGTGACACAGATAGAGAAAAAACAAAGTACTATTTCTGCTGGTGTACACTCTCGTAGGAGTTTTTCTCGGCAATATCATTTTCAGCTCGGCGCGGCGGTGAAAAAAACCAAATTTGTAAAAATATGATTTTAAAAACTCTTGGTATTTCACAAACATAGGTAAATACAGCATTGACTAAAAGAAAGGAAACTGGAGTTATACAATCAGATCAACGTCGAAAACATAAAGTTCGACCACATAGACTTACTCCAGATATTGCAGAAAGTGTGAGAAAGCACATAAAATTATTTCCGTTGGTACCCTCACATTATATTCGAAAGGATTCTAAGAGGATATATCTTAAGGAGGGTTTAAGCATTCAAAAAATGTATAAACTATATACGGAATTTTATGGCGATGAAAACATTATTGGACAAAATCAGTTTCTTTAGACCAAAGAAAGACCAGTGCTCAGTCTTTAACCTAGCTGATGAAACTGGGAAGGTCGACTTACGGGAGAACTATGAACGTCACTTTACTAATTAAAGAGTGGCTAGAAATATGAAAAACAGTGACAAAGAACTCGCCTTGACAGACCAATTGCGTTGAATGTTTCGATCTCCAAAAAGTTTTAGCGACTTCCCAATCGAATGTAAGCGATTTTTATTATAAAAGTAAGTATGCTACATACAACCGCGCCATATTTGATATAGGTAACAATGATGGTTTTTGTTATGTATGTCATGAACAAATTGCTAAACGAGGTTCAAACAAAGTTGCTAGTTGTTTGTGGAAGTTTATAGAGACCCAAAAAAAGAGGGGAAATAAATCACTAATCTTCTATTCGAATAACTGTGGTGGACAAAAGAAAAACCACAGCATATTTTCAATGTTCTCTTATGCAGCTGTGTATTTCCAAGTTAGTATTATTCATAGATTTTTAGAAAAGGGTCACACCCAAAATGAGGGAGACAGCATGCATGGTGTAATTGAAAACGCGAAGAAACGTCAGTCGGTCTTGTGTGTTCCTGAACAATGGATTACTTTAATAAGAATGGCCAAAACTGTCGGAAAGTATATAATGTTACAGAAATGTCACAAGAGGACTTCCTAGATTTCGAAAGCCTTGTTGTCAAGAAAAATTGGAAAACTGACAATGGAAAAGGAATGATCAAAATCAGTCAAATAAAGGAAATCAGTACTTCATATAACACACCAAATGTTATTTTTTTTTAAGTGTGATTTAAGTTTCACCCGATTCTATCAGGTGTGATCTAACAAAAGCAAAAAGGGGACGTCCATCTCGTATTGATCAATTTCCATCTAAAGTATACACAAATCTTTTGTCAAAAGATAGGAAGAAGTTAACTGGCTTATTATGGCTTTGTGATACTGGAAAAATTCCTATTAAGGATGTATCATGGCTTCTATAGAAGTCTACATTCTGATACATTAGAAAAGTATGAAATCACTGCTAGCAGTGACGAGGAAGAACTGCAATTACGTTTGTTTATAATATTTTGTAATTTAGCTTCGATGTAGACTTTAATCATAAATACAATTTTACAGAACGATGATATGTATTACTTATATTCCCGATTTTTTTCCAGGGAATACTGTACTAACTTATTCAAAATCCAGATAAAGAAACAAAATTGACATGTTTAAAAGCACAAATGGAACAATACAAATTATTGCAAATTTTTTCTCTCTTTTACAGTTTTATATATGTTATTACTAAAATTTTGTCCGGTTTCTTATCGGTTGCTTTATTATAAGCCGGAACATATTATTTTTTCTATTGTAGCAAAACTTTACATGTAAAAATTTTCAAAAAATTCATAAGTATTTCTTAGGATTATATCTGTATGCTGTAAAAAATTAACAAGGTTGTATGTTTGGTTTTCCCGCTTTAAACTTGTAAAAAACTAGTTTTTCTGAGATTTTTCGAAAACAACAATATGAAGTTTGCTCAGAATTTGTCAAAGTACTTCTAGTTATCACAAATACCTTCTCAAATTTATTTTTTGGGTACAAATACCTTACGCCGAAATTGAACAGAAAACTTATAAGTTTGCTTACTATAGGAACAAACTCGTTAAATACCTGGCTATTGCGGTGTCCTGAACACGGCTAAATTTTGCTTATTTCCTTTAAGTTTTAAAGTAACTGATTCTTACTGTTTATTTGTAAAGGAATGGATATAAAATTAAATTAAAGAGAGATTTCAAAATTAAAACATGTCATGTCAAAGAATTTTTGCATATTTATAGGAATCCCAGAAAAATATTCATGTTGTGCTTTTAATGAATACATTATAAATTTTGTAACCTTATTTTTCAGAAATTGAAGTGATCATCTACAATGCGAGTGAAGCGTTATTAATTAAAATGATACTGACAAGACTAAAATCTCGAGAAAAATAGTAGGCTAAACAATTTAATATGGTTTTAAACTCTAACAACAAGGACGAAACATCTAAAATGCCCACAAATAGCGAATATTACAGGTATATTATTTCTAATCACCATATAATTATTTACTATTGTGATTTTTTTTGCTAGAATTATATCTAATTTTGATTGGAGACGGAAGTGAGAGATGTAATGTTATTATATTTAGTAAATGATTAACGAAATCAAACAACATGAAAAAATGAGTGCACGGTTGGAAACAAAATTAGGAAGTTTTGTGATTACTCGTTTGCGTTAAGGACATAACGGCAAAACTTTGGAAGAAATTATCCCAAAAATAAAAAGTTTCACATAATTATTATAGTAAATATAACTTTATTTAGAAACAAGTGCGTCATGTTAGCTCAGACAAACAAATGGTAAGTGTTGTAAATATAATATATTAACCATGCTGTCCTGTTCGTGTCTATTTGACCCAAAAAAATTTATTTCTTATTTTGCAAATTACTACGCGGCCTTTTGTCGTTTTTATAACGTTTTGGTGTTTCGTGACTTTATTACCTAATATGAGGTCTTTCAATGAGATAAAAAAATAACTTCCTGATTTTTTTGATAAAAATTAAATTTTGACATCTGATTGAAAAAATTAAATTGTTACCTACAGTACGTTCGGGTCAATATTACCCCTGTATACCGTTAAAAATTACTTGCGTAAGTATGTTTAGTTGGTAGCATTTTATATATTTTCTAACAGTTTGTCAGTCAGGTACGTCTACAAAAATAGAAACAAGTTTCTGCAAGCTAGAACTTGTAAAAAATGTGCAGTGTAGCTGAACGATGTCATTTAGAAGGGATGTCACGTAGAAGGAAGTGGGGTGATATACAAGACAGAGAGTGGTGAGTGCATATCAGAAACAGAAAACAATACAAGTAGTGAGAGTGAGGAAGAAAGTAGTGAGGATTCTGCTGTTCTATTCTACGTACAACATCCAGTAAAACCTTCTGTAACAGTTCTTTCAAAAGATGGTACTATCCAGTAGTCTCTCGATCCTCCTTATCAACTTGGTCGTTTTTCTACGGCCAATGTTATAATTAATGCTCCAGGAGTTACAAGATACGCATGTGCATACATTTTCGATATTAAAAATTCATTTAACGCAGTCTTCTCTGAAATAGTAACAAAGCAAATTATAAATATGACCAACATGGAAGGACAGTTTGTTTTTGGAACCAACTGGAAAGTCTTGGATAAAATTGGTTTTCAAGCATACATTGGTCTGTTATTTTTATAGTCCTTTTCCATCATATTGCTAGCACATTATGTATGCAAATTCTCAACAGGTCAAAAAACCATAGGCGTCATCCTATACTTCTTTGAAATAAATAAAAAAAAATAATATTTTAAGATGCCGTCAACAATTCATTATCATTTAGAAAATCTTCTGTAAAATAAGTGTCCACTAATCTCACTATACCTTTTTTGTACGTAGAAAACGTCGGTATATATGTAACGCGATTATTGTTAATTATACACGGGTGAATAACAAGAGCATTCAATGTTTCACGAAATAAATTAACAGTAATTTAATTAATTAAATAGTAAGTAACTTAATTAAGTAAACAGTAATTTAAAGGTGATTATTGTTTTCTATACAAGTTATCGCCTGACACAAAAAGAATACCTTCTTTGAACGATTACCGGGAATTACTGATAAGGCTTCACTAATGATAGTTTAAGTAGTTTTTATGCCACATTACAGCTTATGCCAATAATATAAATTAGAAATTGTTTGCATCTTCCATTTAGTTTGTAGATGTACATTGTTCATGTGTAGTTTTAAAGGTGCCTTCAGTCTAAGAGAGAAAAATATAATATTAAATGTACACGATGCACTTGTACATCAACGCCCTTTCGTAATGTTCGTGAAATCGTTAACATGTGTTCAAATATGACAGGGGTTGGAGAAGCAACAATTTATAGATTCCTAAAAGAAAGAAAAGGAGGAACTGTTTCATCTCCCAAGAAGAGTGGAAGAAGTAAACCCTTGGAAATTGAAGAAATACATAAAAAACATGATAAGACGCAGCCTCCACTCATTTTTTTAACAAAGAATTTCCAACATTGGACAAAATCCAAACATTAATTAGAGAAAACGAAGAGTTACCAATCATAAGCAACAAGAAATTATGGGGACTATTGAGAGAGATGGGATTTCATTGGCAAAAGAATAGAAGAAAATCCGTTTTAATTGAAAAAGATAACATTGTATGTTGGAGACGAGATTATCTGAGAACTATTAAAGAGTACCGAGAAGAAGGAAAAACAATTTTTTATTTGGACGAGACTTGGCTAAATGAAGGTCATACTATAACATATCTATGGGTTGAAACAAATGTGAAAAGTTCCCGTCAGGCATTCATCGAAGGTGTATCTACTGGAATAAACAATATTCCCTTTGGAAAACGACGCAGACTCATAATAACCCATATTGTAAACGAATACGGTTTTGTCAATGGTGGATTATTAAGTTTTGCCTCAAAATCAACCAAAGAATACCACGAGGAAATGACTGCTGACGTTTTTGAAGAATATTTTGAGCAAATGTTGGATTTAATTCCAAAAAATTCTGTCATAGTCATGGATAATGCTAGTTACCATTCAAGACTAGCAGAAAAATTGCCAACAACGGCATGCAAAAAAGGAGAGATAATCGAATGGTTGGATAAACACGCAATTGAGTACAAGGAGAATTCGACAAAAAAGTGTGACATACCACTATGATCTGAATCCGATAGAAAATATATGGTCTCAAGTAAAGGGTGAAGTCGGACGCAACAACAAAACTTTTAAATTAGAAGACTGACAATAATTATTAGAACATTCCTTATCAAACGTAACTCCAAAAAATTGGAAAAATACTGTTAGTCATGCTCACAAGGAAGAAAATAAAATGTGGAATTTGGATTATATGACTGATGCAATGCTGGAACCGGTAATAATTAACATTGGAGTTGAAGATTCCTTAGATTCTGAAGAAAGCAGTGAATCTGAAATGGAATTTGATTAAAATAATATTCATTTTTTTACAAATCAGCCATTGTTACGGCCACAAATTATTTTATATTTAACCAATAAAATAAACATCTTACATTTCTTGCAAATTCATTAGTACCTGTTAATCTCCATCACTCCGACACTGGCAACTTTATTTAGTGATTAGTAACCCTTAAAACTATTGTATTCTATTCTGCTTCAACCTTTATACCTGGTGGTCATACTCAATTTAAAATTGTTTTCCTATATACTTTTGTAAACTTGTTGACAAATATCTATTTTTCATTGAGTCACTTGTATCAACAGTTTAGGGATTTGCATACATAATGTGCTATCAATATGATGGAAATGGACTATAGCTGGAGTTTTTAAGTCTCATGGGAGTCAACTAAAAGTTTGTTCAATGAAGAAACGGGTCGTAGTGTATTTCGAGCAGCCATGTCCCTGGAAGTATTTACAAAAATTTCGCAAGTAATACGTTTTGATAACAAGACTACTAGATAGAATAGGAGACGTACTGATAAACTTGCTGCAATACGTGAAATTTGGGACAAAAAGGGTAGACATTATACCAAAATTTTTTCAACCCTGATAAAAATGTTCCAATTAGTTACCTTTAGAGGCCGCTGTCCCTTCAAGCAGTACATTTTAAGCAAACCAGCAAAAGATGGCATAAAAATTTGGGCTTTATGTGGCAGTAAAAGTTCGTATGCTCTAAAATTGCAGGAAAGGAAGCAGGTGCCGCGCAGGAACGGAATCAGAAAATGCGTGTAATGTGTGACTTGTGCGTGGTTAATAAACTGTTAAACTATGTTTCCATCATTTTTTTGACATCCTTTTGTAATTTGTAGTCAAATGTAGTCTGTAATCTTTTTCAGCTTTTCTTTTAATATACTGATACATTTGTCATTAGTCACCTGTATATCACATGTCACATATCAAAGGTTTTGAATAATTCAATTGTTTTAGTGAATACAAATCTCCTTCAATATGGGAGTTTTGGAAAGCGAGAAGATATGTCGTGACGTTTATGCTGTTTCTCGGATTTATCAACACTTACTGTCTACGAGTTAACCTCAGCGTTGCTATCGTAGCTATGACTCAGTATTACAATGTCACATTGGCAAATGGTACTACTATTGTGGTAAGTACTTCATGAGAAATTTAAGTTACAGTTCACTATAAGTAATAATTCAATGCTTGCATCTTTTGAAATATATTTCTTTTTTGATTTCTTCTAGCAGTAGGTTATTATTAATACTGCAATAGGGTTTCTGTCCCATTAAATGTTTTTTGCATATTCTTTGCTTATATAACACTGTCTGCAAAAAATGTTTTTTTTTGCCCTTTTTGTTTTCATGTATATTATTTTTAAAGTTACTATAAGTTTTACGTGATGATAAAATCCAAGTTATTTTGTAGTTTTCTTCCTTTTCATTGCTTTAATTGAAGCTTCTCTGTAAATCGACCAACACCCAACAAACAATCGGTCAACAGCATTGCTGCTGACCATTTTCCATTGTAGCGTCTTTCAATGAGTAATAAATCCTTGTGAAACCTTTCACCATGCTTATCTTATAATACCCAACAAATCTATGTGTAAATCTAAAAAATGAATTTTAAGTGACGTATGATACCTTACAGCCTCATAATCAGAAAGAAGTTGTTGAATGATTTCCCGGTAGTTCATCTTTTGTATTACCAGGATCATCATCATCTTCCAACTTTCATTTATCACGTCCACTGCTGGACATAGGCCTCCCTTAATCTCCTCCATTTTTTTTTATTTTGTGCTCTTTGTTGCCAATTTTTGGTGATACGCCTGATGTCGTCAGCCCAACGTGTAGGTGGTCTTCCTTTACTACGTCTGTCTGCTCTTGGCCTCCAATTTGTAATTTTGCTCGTCTATCGCGAGTCGTGCATAATCGCTACATTGTCTGCTCAGTTCCATTTCAGTTTATCTATGCATTTCACAATATCAGCAATGCTTGTCCTTCTTCGCAGATCTTCGTTTCGTATTCGGTTCCGCAACGTCACTTCCAGCATAGACCGTTTCATTCGCCTATGTGCCACTATCGATTTCGAAGCTGTAGTCTTGGTTAGTGATAGTTTTCGCCTCATAAGCCATGACCGGTAATATGCATTGATCAAATACTTTTCTTCTGAGGTTAATTGGTATGTTGCCCCTTAGTCTGTCTCGTAGTTTTCCAAAGGCTGCCCACGCTAAAGTATTTCGTCTTTGGATTTGACATGTTAGGTTATCCCTGCTGATTCGTATTTTATGACCCAAATACGTATATTTCTCCACCAGTTCTAATACTTTGTCTCGAATGGTTGAATGGTTATTGTGGACCATACTTGTCATAAACATAGTTTTGGTCAAGTTCATTTTGAGGCCCACCTTCGAAAATGTAAAGGCCAATTCATATAACATATATATGTGACTTTTTCTAAATTATCTGTGATAAGGACAATGTTATCTGCGAAACGGAGATGGTTAGGAATTATATCGTGAATCATTATATTCCTATATTCATACATTTATTTTTCTATTATAATATACCATCAGCATAAGTTTTTTTTAAACTCAATTTATGTACATTTATAATTTGTTTAATTTTTTAGACACGAGATTTTGACTGGGATACAAAAATCCAGGGTTATCTCTTAAGTTCATTTTTTTATGGTTATATATTTACTCAATTTATTGGAGCATACTTGGGTATCCGATTCGGAGGAAAAATTGTTTTTGCTGTAGGAATCGGCATGGCATCTATTTTGACCATCCTTACACCAGTAGCTGCATATTTAAATGTTTATCTGCTGTTGGTTGTGAGGATATTGGAAGGATTATTTGAGGTAAGAAGCAGAATAATACTTAGAATACATTTTTATGCGTGCATTGAAATTTAAAACAAGGGAAGCAATTTATAAAAAAGATTTAAAAACTCACCTATTTATAATGTAATTTAATTCTTCTACCATTTTTCGCCAACTTGTCTATAACTTTATTGTAAAAACTTGGATACTTTGACATTTCTTTAATCAGATTATTATCATTTGCCAGAAGGAAAACATTAGAGAGTCGAACTTGTCCTATCGAATTTCTGAAGTAAGTCTTTATTCGTTTTAGTGTTAAACTACGTTCTACAGATGTACTAGTAGCTGGAATTGTCAGTACTAACTCACATAATTTCAATACCTTCGAATATGCTTTGTCCAAAGAAGTTATTTTTAAAAAAGTTAGTTACTTACTGGCATTATGTTTTGTGTCAAGGTCCTTACTTTCATATAAAGCTGTTAGCTTCGAAAGTAATATATTTAATCAAAATATTGTCCATAAAGATGTATCAAAGACTTTATTTGTTTTTCAGGAAACTTTGTGTTTTTAAAATCATTAAAATTGCACAGCTCAAGAAAGTTTATGTCATCAAAATTCTTAAACCTATTCTCAAAACTTCTTGCCATCATATTATTCCAGCATTTTTCAAAGTCATCTTTTTTTTTGTTAATAACATCTTTAAATTCGTTCATTTTTTTTATAGCCAATATCGTTTATCTTGCATTGTAATACATCAAATAAATTATATGAGACTGAAAATATTTCAGAAAAAAGCAAGATTAAAAAATTCAAATTAAAATCATTTACTATAAACATCAACTATCCAAAAATCCCCTCGAGCTATTTATGGTTCTGTATCCCACTTTTCACCATTCTCCAAAACACTCTCAAATAATAATTAAAGAATCGCGCTGTTTTAAGACTGTTATCACTAGTCTGCCGTTGTAATTCCATCGCGTCAACGCAACTTTTGGTAGTCTTCGTTTTACAATTGCATCTAAGGCTTGAGTTTGTTTAGAGGATTTAGAAAAGCAAACAGCCATTCAACTTAAACTGGCAAAAAAATTGCATGCTTTGATCTGCATGACCGATTGGGATAAAACTAGATATATTTTGTGTGCAAAACAGTGTATAAATATCGCACTAGGATATGTTTCAATTATAGACTCCGCAAAAGCCCAACCATAACCGCAGCGCCGTCATAACTTTGGGAAATTAGCGTCATTACCATTAATGGATTTTAAAAGTTCACAAACAATTTTATATAATGCGTCTGCCGTTCTATCTTCTGATGCATTTATAAAACCTAAAATCTTTCCTATATAATTCCGTCTGTATTAACAAACAGAGATTTGGCTAAAATTGGTATCATCAGTTGTTTCATCTAAAATAATTCCAATGGAGCGTGTTTGTTTAATTTCATAAATTATTTTGTTTGAAAATACTCTTCAAATAGCAGAAATAAAATCATTCTGAATTCGATTTGGGGTGCCTTGAAACACACTGGACTGTTCTAAATGAGTTATTAAACGAGAATCTTACTTAGAAATTAGTGAAACAAGATCCATGTAATTGCCCCTATTTGTATAGATGTATTGGTTTCGTCGTGACCTCTGAACCCAAGTTAATTAAAACATAAAAAACACACATCGTCAATAAGTCTTTTCAGCACGTCTTTATTAGTAACTAATTAATTATGATTTTGATGACTCAATTTTAATTAATTATCCAAAGTGTGTTCTATTTTTCCAAAAACTGTCTCTTTGATGACGGTTTGCAAGTGAGCTTTAGACATGATATGTCGTTTCACTATCTTATGAAAATTGTTTAGATCGCCAAAACCACTATGATTCCAAACGTTATTTTCATTCACAAAGAGGAAACACCAGCAAAATAGTTTATTCCTAAATTCATAAGCAGCTAGCCACTCGTATTGTTCGTAAGATTTTTCCCAATTAAAATGTCTGATGCAAGTTTTTATTTTGGTAGTGAGATTTTTCATTTCAGGCTTCGACATACCTTTAATTAAAAAAACAGAAATACCTCAGCTTCTTTTATCAATTATTTTATTATATTTTATTAATAATAATAGTAATTTTTATTATTATTTTAGATAAGACTGTATTAATATTAAAAATAAATCAAAATAAAAGATAAGAACAGTTGATTTAAAAGTATTAAAGAAGGAAGCTGTAATATTATCGTTTTCCCTATTCGTGCTATGTAAATATAATATAGTACACTTAATAATTATGTTCCATTTTTCACCAAATTCAAAGAACTAAAGCGTTTCTCTAATAACAAACATACTACACATTTACACACTACAGCTGATTCCACAAAATCTGTCGACGAAGACGACATTGTCTTTAACAGTGTACTAACAGTTTGAAGTTTCCACACCTTCATTAAATCTATTAACCATTATCCATTTTCTGCTTAATTTTTATCAATTTTACAAATTGCTTGTTTACAAATTATCGTTACAAATTACTTCTTGTGTGTGATGATTTAGAACTTTTTCCATATTTATATCACAACGTTACAACACTGCACAAAAAGAGCTAGCAAAATATATTATGAAGTCAACTTTTCTGTGAATTCAGAGAAAATGAAGCATTTATCACATTTTAGAATTTTGACATGGCGCACCCAAAACTCACTACTCTTCACTAATTTGGAATGGTATAACTTATTTATAAGATATTTAAACAGAAAACTTTGTGACAATCTTACATATCTAGTAGATTGTGTGTCCAACATCTAAAAGATAAATCCTAACCCGTTTTTCATCAGGATTAAACCTTTTAACCAAATGTGATATAAAAATTGGAAGTTATATTTATTTTCGTCTTGCTAAGACGCGTCGAATAATATATCGCTAGTACTATTTTGGTTACTTTAAAACAGTACTTCCAGTTGCAACTCTGAAACCGGAAGTTCGATGTCAAATTTCTCCCCTTTAATACCAACTTTAGATTATAAGCATTCATTCGACACCTCATTTGTTATTCATGTTTTGATACTGGAGGAATTATGTTTACGGACAGACAGAAAGACCTGTATACTTCAAGATTTTTACATTTTAATATTGTAAAACGAGTGGAAACAATGTTATATTATATAACAAATACATATATTTTGTGAAACTTACATGTAATAATTACATTTCGATTTTATTTTAGGGAGTTATTATACCATGCAGTCAGACAATTTGGACAAACTGGGCTCCAAAGCTAGAACGGAGTCGATTAATAACAATAGCTATATCTGGAACCTATATAGGAACAGTCATTTGTTTACCTTTGTCAGCACAGCTGGCTACACATCTTGGATGGGAGAGCATATTCTATGTTTTTGGTAAAGATATTTAATTATAATAATATCGAAATATATGAGCATTTATTGGTTTTTGGACTGTAAATATATAGGGTGCCTTAAAATGTCGATCTGAAAAATCTGAACTATTTATAGATAGAATAGAATAAAAATATGCTTTATTGTCACTGAAAATTGTACATTTTTATGGACAAAGTCAAAAAGTCAAAAAAATAACAATAACACTAAAAATTTACGAAAATTAAGTAAATCGTCAATATAACAAAATAAACGATAATAAAATATACAATCCATTGCAAAATTTCACTAAGTAAATTGCAAATTGCATAATAAAACCTTACGACTAGTTTACGAATAAGTTTGAGTTGCTGCTTGTGATACCCAAATATATATGAAAATACTTTAGTTACTTTGCTATTTTAGTTTCTATTTTAATTTATTAGTTATTCGTTAAACTCTTCCACTAAATAATATGGTCTTTCAGATAGATGGCTTTTGTCAATTTACGGAAATTAAGGAAAGAAGTTGTAGATTTAAGTTGCAAAGGGAGTTAATTGTAGAATTATTTTGCCGAATAGAATATAGATTTCTTTATTAACTCAGTGGACGGAATCGGTAAATACAAATCAAAGGTTGAATTTCTGGTCGAGTCGTCATGATTAGGTCTTGCTGGAAAAACATATAGGTTTGTAAGAATTAGGCAAATAGATTCTAGAATATATAAAGAGGGAAGAGTTAAAATCCCGTGATTTTTGGAATAACTTCTGCAGTGTGTTATTCTACTGAGGCCAAAAAGATACCGTATTTCTCTTTTTTGTAATTTAAAAATAACATCAAATTGGACAGTTGTACTGGAACCCCGAAAAGGAAGACCATATAGACTCTATATAGAGACTATATTAGGAATGTATTCAACTATTTTTTCTTTGTACATCATCAACTCATCCCTATAAGGATTTGGTATGATCGACGAACTGGCCGTATTTTCTAAACTTTTTCATTATTAATATTATCACTATCATCCAATATTCTCTTTTTAATGATTCAGTGCTGTTACTTTGTTTGAAATTTATTCTCATAACTAGACTTCGGCAAATATGCAAATAAAAATGTAGAAAATATGCGCATAAATATGCACGTGTTTACCCGAAAATATGCAAATATTTTACAAAATATGCATACAAATAAATAAAAAAATCGTAAAATAGTAACAATTTTATTAAAAAAAAGTGTACACAACTAAATATTTTCTACTATTCATTAAGATTTACATTTATTTTAAGTAACTACTACATCATTTTTAAGTATGAATAAACTTATTTAGAATTATGGTAACAATAAATGACCAAGTGGACCACTGTCTGAGTACATATATTTATATATGGAAAAACTTCGTTCAGCATCAACTGATGTAACGGGAGCATTTTTCAAACTAACCAAAACATTTGGTTCTAAATTAATTGTTTCCGAAATATTTCCAGCTAGAACACTGACTACTTCAGAAAGAATATGGTAACCTTTATTTTTTTCCATAGTAGCTTCAATTTTTTTTTAAATATATTTTCCAATATTACCTCTAACGTTCCGACAACATGACGCAAATTCTTTTATTAATGCTGTACTTTCGAACAATGACAGTTTTGGTGATTCTAACTGAGTAATTGTTTTTTGAACAAAACTAAAATTTGATTTTATAAATGAAAGTTCTTGTTGAAGCAAGTTCCTCTGAAAAGATTGTTTAGAATCCAAAAGAGATTGGGAACTTTCATCTGTTAACGTATCAATTATGTTCTTTATTTTAACAAAATGATCTGCATAAAAATTAGCTGCTTCTAACCATGTTCCCCATCGCGTTAAGATAGGTTGTGGTGGAAGAGGAATGTTAGTTAGCATTTCTTTATAAAGTTGAATTCTTATAGGAGATTTAAGAAATACTTTTTTGACACTGGATATCATGGTATTTACAAGAGGAAACTTTTTTCGGATTTCCTCTGCAACTCTGTTTAATCCATGCGCTACACAAGTAACATGTATTAAATCTGGGAAAAATATTTTTAAATTTTGTCCTGCTTTCACCATATAAGGAGCAGCATCCGATAAAATAAGCAGTAATTTATTAGAAGGAATAGTTGTCGGAAGAAAAAAAGTTGCTAATGTTTCTTGTATAAAACGTGAAATTGTTAAAGCATTTGTTTTCTCAAGTTGCTGGCATGAAATAAGATGAGATCTTGGTAAGGTATCTCTCTTTAAAACACCAATCAATAAGTGAGCAATATACTTTCCTGAGGAATCAGTGGTTTCGTCTACAGATATATAAAAATAATTATCTGCAATTTCTTCCTTAATATTAATTAATACCGACGAGTATAGCCCGTTCACATTATTTCTTCTTAGAGACCGATCACTTGGAACATTAAGTTTGCAATATTTTTTTAGAAACGAACTAAAATTTACATTTGCTGATTTTGAAAGCGGTATGTTTGCAGACACTAATGCGCGACACAAGTCTTCATTAAAAGTTTCTTGCTCATCTAATTTTTTTGAAGTAGATTGGAAACATTTAGCCATTGAAGTTTGATGTTTTCCTCCTATTTTTCCTTTTTTTGCAACGTGTGAAGCAGTTCTCACATGTTGGTCTATCTGAAATTTATTCTCACATGCTATCTATAAATAAAAATAAAAACCTTTATTTTAACCCAACCTTTAAAATATAAAAATATACAAGGTGTTTTTGGTTAATCAAATAACTGGTTTGGAAAAAAAAAACACTTGCTAAGTGTTTTTAAATGCAGTATTAATCCACAAATTAGTTTTTGTTACTAACCATTAGTACATCCTATAACTTATTTTAAAATTCAACAAAAGTTTTTTTTTGTTAATTCAATTACAATAAAAATAATTGTGTTTTAGAATAGCTGACTTCATAAAAGAAGTAAAGGTGAAAAATTTTTCTAAATACACACCATTGTATTGTACCATGGACAATTTTTTCTCACTAAAGGAAGCTATTTTTCATTTAAAAACAACCTACGAGTACTAAATTTCAAGTAAATACGTTTATTGGTTTTAAAGTTATTGTTGTTATTAACTAAAAGAATTAATTTTTTTTTTAATTTTAACACCCTGTATCTCGAAAAGTAAATAAGTTTGACCCCTCATTAACTATATCGTTTTGTTCAATTTTTCGGGAAGTATCTACAGTCAAACGTTGTAAGTGTCATTTGGAAACACCCTGTATGTATGAAATATTAGATATTTAATAGAAAATATTAGATACTTACAATTTTGCCACAGACTGAACAGTAGATTTTTCCCATATCCATAGACAGCTCTTTATAAGGTTTAATCCAAGTTGAAGCACTGGTTGTTTTAGGCATTATAAAATCACAATCTTCCTTTTTGTTACGCACAACGAGTGTTTAGGCTTTGAATATCAAAACAAAAATGATTTACAAATCTGACCATCAAATTAGAAATGTTTAGGTACCTAATTCAATAAACTGGGAGATTTTGGAAAATCCCTAAATTAGGAACAAAACTATTAGCCGTTTACCTGCTGTTAAGATACAATAAATTGTAGATAGATTTGGGGATTAGATCATAAAATGCAAATGAGCGAACCCTTAGCGATTATCCAATAACTGAATGCCTCAGTGACCGAGACTTTCTAAGAATGTTGAGGGCTACTTAAATTGATCTCCTTTGAAATTGTAAATGTTTTGTACTTGTAGAGATTACGTACTTAGATCATTTCTTGATTAAAATGACTACAAAATTTTATACAAGAATTGAAATAAATTGGCATGTTTAAAAATTTTCAAATACAGTATAAAAATCTGAACTTTTATGCACTTTATGCAAACTTTTATACAAATATGCCAAAATATGAAATATTTGCATAAAATATGCACAATATGCAAAATATGCAATATGCATATTTGCCGAAGTCTACTCATAACTCTTTAGAGATACTGCATACTAAAGGTAACTTGACATTTTTAGAAGGTAGTGGAGAAAAACTAGAAGAATCATTAGCCAACAACGAGAATTTATTATAAGTCAATACGTTTGAATAATACTTTGGATTATTATAGACTTTTTCAGCTTCCTGAAACAAGATGTTTTTTGGTGCCATGATTTTCTTAATTTCACACCGTTTAATGTATTCTGAGCGTTCTCTTGATAATACTGTGCTGCTAAGCACAATATAAACATTTCGTTATCATAAAGCAATCAGTAATTATTTCCACCACAGTTTTTACAATGTTCTTTCCCATTACACTGTTTTGTCACCATATATTTCATCGCTTCTTTACTTACTCGGTAAAGCAAAACGCGTGCGTCGTTCTCTCACGAAGCGGCGACTGTCACGGTATTCTTGAGCCCAGAGCATGTTTCGTTGTGATGTGCCGTGCGTTGGTTTCGTGGTTCCGATAAGAATTACCTTTCGCATACCTGGCTAGCGTTCGTGTGTTTCGTTTCGGCTGTCAACTTACCTCCAGCCTGATTCGATTCGAGGACACTGCTAGATGGATAGTTTGACCCCACGTAGAGCAAAAGGGCAAAAGCTGGCTTGATCCTGATATTCAGTATGCATAGGGATTGCGAAAGCACGGCCTATCGATTCTTTTGGCTTAAAGAGGTTTCAGAAAAAGGTATCAGAAAAGTTACCATAGGGAAAACTGGCTTATGGCGGCCAAACATTCATAGCAACGTCTCTTTTTGATCCTTTGATGTCAGCTCTTCCTATCATTGCGAAGCAGAATTCGCCAAGCGTTTGATTGTTCACCCATAGCTAGGGGACGTGAGCTGAGCTTAGACCGTCGTGAGACAGGTTAGTTTTACCCTACTGATGACTCGCCGTTGCGATAGTAATCCTGCTTAGTATGAGAGGAATCTCAGGTTCGGACATTTGGTTGACGCACTTACTCGGGCGGGTGATGGTGCGAAGCTACAGGCCCGTTTTCACGGTACACTTTGGATGATCATCCCGGGTGAATCATCCAAAGTGAAAAATAAATGAATCGTATAAACTATTATTCATCGACAGTGATCATCCAAAATGAATATTGAACGAAGTTGAACCGAGTTCTACTTTTGTTCACTTTAGGGGATGCATCGCGGATGAATCATCCAAAGTGAACCATGTAAACATGCATTTGTTGCTGTAATTCATCGGTAGTGACTAGTGAACGGCGGCAACAGGTCCACGTGGTTGTGTATTGTCGCGTTTGAAGTGCGTAGTTGTTGTGTTTGTACGCTTGCTATCATGGTTTTTAAGTGGAAAGACGACCATACTCCTCTAATTTTGAGTTTAATGAAAGACCGACAGTGTCTTTGGAACACTAAAGCAGAGACATATAAAAATAAAACCCATAGAGAAAAAGCGTTAAAAGAAATCGTTGAGGAGCTGAATCTTCAGGGAGTGATGGTGGAAGATATTAAGTTAAAAATAAAAACAATTCGTACCCGATATTCATCTGAACTGGCTAAAGTAAATCAATCCGTAAAAAGTGGTACAGGGCCAGATGACGTTTATGTCCCCAAACTTTTTTGGTACAAACAAGCCGATTCATTCTTACGTGCAGTTTGTGTACCGAGGAGCAGCTCAGCAAGTACAGTAAGTATAGCATTTTTTTATTTTCATACTACTAGCAATTATAAGTACATATATGTATTAGGTGGGTCGTAGGGTATTGTAGTAAGTTGAAAATAAAAACCATATCGATTTAAAATAGCTGAAATATAGTTGATCGTTTTAGACGTAAAATGTCCCACTTCATCTTGGTTGCTTACCTTACACGTATAAACAACAAAACCACAGAAAAATTAGTTACCAATTTTTATTAAGTAAATGAACAATTATACAAGAATAAGCCATTTAAATCATTTTCCACTGCCACGGTACAATTTCAGTTGAACAGAACAGATCTGCATAATCATCACGTACAGCGGCAGCAACTTTCTTGTGGTTGTTACTTGTAGCAAGTGTTATGTCTCTGAGGCCGTCGTGTGTAGTTTGTCGCCATATTCCAGGTACAATTCTGCCTTCCTCCCATAATTCAACATCAATCAATCCCTCAGTTACGTATGGTGCTTTGCAAGTAGAGGTTTGTCTGAGCCAATTATGAAGAACACAAGTAGCTTTCACCAGTAATTCAGTTGTTTCTACTTTGAGAGGAATAGGCTTTTCGAATACTCGAAAACGAGACACAAGTATGCCAAATGCATTTTCTGATAGGCGACGAGCTCGAGATAGCCGATAATTAAATACCCTTTCCTTCCTAGTTAATGATTTCTTGCTATAAGGTTTCAAAAGATAGGTTCTAAGAGGAAAAGCGTCGTCCCCAAGAAAAACACCATTTTCAGGTATATTTAACAAATTGTTCTCCAGAGCTTCGTTAAATGTACATTTGGAAAACACTAATGCGTCATTTGCTCTGCCATTTGTACCGACGTCAATATATAGGAAGTTATAATTAGCATCCACAATTGCAAAAAGAATAGTGCTGAACGTTTGTTTATAATTGAAAAAATACGATCCCGACTTCGCAGGACAGCGAATAGCAATATGTTTCCCGTCCATAGCGCCACAGCAATTAGGGAAGTTCCAAAGGGTATAATATTCCTTCATTACTTTTGTCCATTCATTAGTAGTGGTAGGCACCTGTAAAAGACAAAACTGTATACGTATGTGTATTATAAGTGGGTAAAAATTCGAGCAACTTCGTTTTGTATGATAATATGCGGTATCTGTTTCAGGTTCCGAAATGTAAAAGGAGCCCAACGCCACAGAATCCAGATACTGAAGATGTCAATTATGAAGGAAATAATACTGATACCGAGGTTATCATACCTGCGGCAGCAAATGATGTCATACCGACAGATGATGGAGTACTACCTAAAGAAAGCGAACTGGCACAGCATAACAAACGAATCAGAAAAGAGAGTCCCCAAGCAAATTTGAACACCCCATTTTCAAAAAAGCATCGTTTTTCTGGAATTTCAGCTATTGAAAAAGCAATAGATAAATTAAGTGCAATTGCTGCACAGAATGCAAGCACAGATAACGAATTTGATCATTTTTGTCGAAGCCTGTCAGTTCAGCTTAAAACCATGCCTCTGGACCGCGCCCTGATATGTCAAGAAAAGCTGCAAAAGGTTATGATGGAAGAGCGCATGTATCTCTTCAACTTAGAACAGACTCGCTCAAAGGAATCTACTCCATCACTGTATACAGTATATTCGACTAACAGTGAGACGTCAGTTTCTACACCGACTACTACAATGGAAAGATATGAAGAGAGTGCTCCTTATGATATATTATCCGAAGCATTCTCGACTATTCACAATTACCAATGAATTTATGTTTGATTTTAATTTTTGAATAAAATGCCTTTTGGATAAAGTTTTAATACGTTTTTTTTTTAAATATGTAAGAAAGAATCTAATTAGGTACTAACCTTGATACAGTATTCAAGTATTTCGTAAATAGCAGCTAATACTTCTGGCATAAAATGGGAAATGGAGCATTTAGGTACACGATACAAAGCTTCGAGTGTTGAAAAGCAATCTCCTGCTGCAAGATATCTTAGTACAATTTGCAATTTCAGTCTTGGATGAAGAGATTCTCTCATGGTTGTGCTTTGCTTTTGAATTAACGGTGTGACTTTGGTAAGTAGCTCTTCAAATTGCACTTCAGACATTCTTAGATGGTTTTGTAACATGGCTTGATCTTCTGTAGACCATTCCTTTAACAAACACGTTGACGCCCCCATTTTGTAGCGTCGAAGTATCCACGGCCTTACCCACCAACGTCGTTTTTTTCTAATCTTCTGTTTTTCAAGTACATTTTCAAGTTCATTTAAAAGATATTCACTTATTATACCAATTCCAGCACGTACAACTTCAGTCGGCGCCATTTGTAAGTGAACAGACTAGTTCAGTCTTGGTGATACATGTAAACGATAATTACTTTCATCGTCGTAGTCACTTTGGATGATTCATCCGGGATGATCATCCAAAGTGTACCGTGAAAACGGGCCTTACCATCCGTGGGATTATGCCTGAACGCCTTTAAGGCCGTATCCTTTCTAGTCAAAGGTGGCAACGATATCTCTTGAAGTTCCGAGAGTCGAAAGGTTAAAAAAAATGTGACTTTACAAGGCAATCGGAGTTCGCTACGATTGTCGCACAAGCCCTTATTTCCGTTGAGATTATCGGTTTACGGTGGGATTGATCCTTGTGAGTAGACCAGATTTTTAGACGGACGAACATGGGTATTATAATCTTTTCGATATTGGAACTCGGAATTGTCTGTAGACGACTTACGTACCTGGTAAAGTGTTGTACCTGATAGAACAGTTTCCACGCTGCGATCTATTGAGACTCAGTCCTCGGCTTGAGGATTGGTCTTGTCGGTTAGACGAGATTCATGATATTAAAACATATAGAAAGTGTCCATACCTTAAGCATTTCTGACAATGTATAACAGGATACATGTACGGTTCCACAGGAAAAATACAATTATTGATTATGACTTCCTTTGGCAAAGAAGATCCGATGAACATACAAGTTTTCTATTTATTAGTTTAGTTTTATTTGTTTCTCTAATGACTCTACACTTTAGTACGCTCGGAAGTATATGTATATATTATGTAATTCAGCTTGTTCGTATAACTTTTAGAAGTTCAGTGGCATTTTAGTCTCTGATGACTTTATTAATTTACTAAATAAAATAAATACTAAAAAACCTACAAATATACTTTCTTACAGGTGCTGTTGGCTGTTTATGGTGTGTATTCTGGTTATGGTTAGTAAAAGATTCTCCTACAGAGGACTCAAAAATTTCCAACGAAGAACTAAAGTATATAACCAATTCTCTAGAAGGATATAAAGGGGATACTAGTAGAAATATTCCTATATGGTCAATTATAACATCTCCTCCTGTGTGGGCTTTGATCGTTGCAAGTTCTAGTGAAATTTGGGGATTTTATACACTGTTGACACAGCTGCCAAAATTTATGAAATGTTAGTATATTTAAGTAAAAATATATACCAAGCGGTCCATATGTATGGCATAAATTTTAGCATTAGTATATACTATGTGAAAAAAAACCTAAAACAGGTTAATTTTTATTCTCAAATTGACAATTTAGAGTATGAAAATATTATACCCCTCCAGCACCCTTTTGAATTGTAAGCGCCCCTCAAAAATTTTAAATAACAAAGGGGGTCGTATGGCACCTTGTTAGAAAGGGATTTTAGTCCTCTGTTCAGCACTATAAAGTTTTTGTAATCATAATTGAAAAAATTGATTTTTAAAATGTAAAATTTTGATAATGTCTATCACAAAACTTTAGGTTGAATGAAGATAATAATGTCACATAATATTTAGAATGTATTTTTCAGTGTACTTTACAATTAAATTAAATGTTCAAAATGGCCACCATTCACTTCTTGACAATAACCGAGGCGATTTTGTAATTCTCGTACAACATTTTGTATGACCTCGAGGGTTACTTTGTTAATTTCTTCCATTAAATGACTTTTAAATCAGCAATACTGTTTAGTCTATTAAAATATACTTTACATTTTAAATAACCCCAAAATAAGTAATCAAGAAGAGATAAATCGGAGGATCTAGCCGGCAATTTGATAGTTCCAAGTCTTCCAATCGATCTATTGGAAAAAACCTCGGTTAAATAATTTTTATTTATACGTACAAAAGGCGGTGAAGCTACCTCTTGTTGGTAGTAAATAGATCTATCTATCTTATTTGGATGATTATCATCAGGAAAAACCTTTGTAATGTAGGCACTAAAAAGTTAATTAAAAAATCTAGATAAACCTTACCATCAACTGTGCCCTCCAAAAAATAAGGACCAATAATTTTATTTTTAATGATATCAGCCCAAAAATTAACTTTTTTAGGATATTGCCTGTAAGTCTTACACGCCCAGTGAGAATTTTCTCTGCTCCAGTACCTACAGATCTGTTTGTTAACCTTTCCATTTGAACGAAACGTTGCTTCATCAGAAAAAACTATTGTGTTTATGAACTGTAAATCTGCGTTTATTCTGTCCATCATCATTTCACATAATTCTTGACTGCTATGACTTCATTTAACTCCTGAGCCAACTGAACTTTGCAAGGGTGGTATTTTTCTTTATGCAAAACTCTCGTCAAAATAGATGATTTACTTTCATCATTGACGGCGGCAAGTTCTCGAGTTATCTTATGCGGATTTTCGTCAATCTCTAGAACTACATCTAACTTTTTTCGTCAGTAAATTTAATATTTCTACCTGGTTTTTCAATATTTTTTACATGTCCAGTATAACGAAACTTCTTCTCAATTTTGCTAACTGTAGACTGTGAAACTTGTTGACCAGGGTATGTATTATTAAACACTTCACAAACTAAAAAGTTTTTTCCCTAATGTTTAGCAGAACAGATTCGAAAATACCTGAATATTTCTAAAGCATATTTTAATAGACAGGGAATATTGCTGATTTAGAAGTTAGGGTAACGGAAGAAATTATCAAAATAACCCTCGAGGTCATAATAATAATAATAATAATAATAATAATATACGTTTATTCAAATCAATAAGTATTACATAATTTACAATTTCAGTTTACTTACAATAAAATAAACGTAAAAAAAGTCTTTAAAGCATTAATATGCTTGTTGACTTAATTTTTTTTTCACAAATTATTATTTCATTTTTACAGTTTCTAATCTAATCTAATTTGTTTCGTTTTTTTTATCTAGTATAATTTAAATTTATTAAATTGTTACACAACTCCCTTTTTTCTTTTACCCAAGCATTACCTAATTTTTTATACAAATAAAAATTTTTGATATTTTTAAAATTTATGGGCAATTGATTTGTATATTCTTGGAGCAAAATATTTAATTGACCGTTGCGTGATTGTTTTTGAAGTGTGAAGACATTCAACATTCCATTTTCTTCTTGTTTCATAATTTGACACTTTTACTTTAAGAGGTATTTTATCTTTATGAATATTTTTAAGTAGCTCTAAGCAGTACAATTGCCGAACATCAAGAACCTGAGTTTCATGAAAAAAGTTGGTCTGAGGGATATGTTTTTCGTTTTCCATATATTAGTTTAAGAAACCATTTCTGAGTATTTTGAAGGGTCGCCAGATGGCAATCAGCTACGCCACCCCATCCTAAAATCCCATATACAAGATGAGATTGTACTAAAGACAGGTAAAGCATTTTAAGCTGTTCAACATCCAAAAACTCTTTTAAATAGCGGAATTTTGGTAACAGTCCTCGTATTTTTCTTATAATATTTTTTATTTGTAAGTCCCATTTAAGGTGCCTGTCAATTAAAACTCCTAAATATTTTATGTATTCTGCTTTAAATATTTGTTGTTTTTTATTTATTTTTAATGAATTAAAAGTTGGCAGAGAATTTTTATATATTGCAAAAGGTATATATTTAGTTTTTTCGTAATTTATTGTGAGTTTGTTTATTTGCAACCATGTTTTTATAACTTTGAAGTCTTGTTCAACTATAGTTTTAAGATCTTCCCAATTATCGGCCTTATAAAAAATTGCGGTGTCATCAGCAAAGCTTATTATGTTTCCATCAGTTTTTAGTTTAAGCATGTCATTAACATAGAGTGTAAAGAGTAGAGGGCCTAAAACGGTCCCTTGCGGTACGCCATAATTAATTACTTCAGGATCACTTTCGACACCATCAATTTCTACAAATTGTTTTCTGTCTGTTAAGTAACTTTTTAGTAATGTCAAAACGCGTCCTCTCAGACCATACTTCTCAAGTTTCTCTAACAAGATCCCGTGAGATATCGTGTCAAACGCCTTAGAGAGATCGACAAATATGCATAAACTACGTTTATTAGACTCAAAAGCTTCTGATATTTGTGATGTTAGTTTACAAATAGCATCTTGTGTAGATTTTCTTTCTCTAAAACCGTATTGACAATCCGATATTATACTAAACCTATCCAAAAAACTCACTAATCTATTTTTTTAAATTTTTTCAAATATTTTGGAAAAAACAGACAACAAAGATACTGGTCTGTAATTAATCACGTCTTCTTTATTTCCTTTTTTAAACAGAGGTTTGATTTTGCCTATTTTCAGACATTCTGGAAACAACCATCCTGAAAACATGCATTAATGAGAAAAGTTAAAGGAGTAATAATTTCTTCCTTAATTTGTTTGATGGTTTATGTCTTGATCCCATCCCAGCCAGGTGATTTTTTGTGTTTTAAAGATTATATTGCATTTACCACTTCTTTTTGGTCAACGAGATACAAGTACATGCTGTTTTCTATCCTATCTATGTCCTCAATCTGGTCATTACAAATGGGTATTTTTTGTGCATACCTTTGTCCCAATGTACTGTAATGTGTATTAAATTCATTTGCAATTTCTTTTCTGTCGGTTATTTTTTCTCCTGTTTTGGTTTTAACCGATTCAATTTTTGTATTTTCTTTTATTTTTCCACACAATGAATTAATTACATTCCAAAGTGATGAAGAAGAGGTCTTATTTTGTTCAATTCGTTGTTTTGTATAATTTTTTTTTGCAGTTTTAACTAAGTGTCTTAATTTATTTTTATAGTCTGTATATCGTTGTTTTTTTAAGTTATCTGAGGGATCTTGGATTAGCTGATCATACAATCTGTGTTTTTCCTGTACAGACTTTAAAAGTCCCTCTGTCATCCAATCTTTTTTTGAAGTGGTTTTTAGATCATTTCCTTTTAAAATAATTGTATTTTTGTTTATTAAATTTAAAATTTTGTCAATGAAAAGTTTTACCGCTTCATTTTTATTTGTTTTATTGTAAATATCCAACCACTTTTCCTGCTTCAAATTGTTTTTTAGATTTTTGTAGTTGATGTACTTCTTTATTATTATTTTGTTTACTTTGGTTTTGGTTAGATTAGGAATGAAAACTGCGATTGGATAATGATCTGAAGTAGTATTATTTTTAAATATAAATGAAGTTATGTTAGTGTAATCAGCAGGTCTTTTTATAAAGAAATGGTCTATACAAGTTTGACTTCATGTAATACGAGAATGTACGAGAATTCTAAAATCGCGTCGGTTATTGTCAAGAAGTAAATAATGGTGGTCAAGTTGAACATTTAATTTAATTGTAAAAATCAAGTTTCTCAGTTATGATTCCATAAACTAAAAAACTATATTGCTGAACAGCTAGTTCAGCTGAACGTTACTGAACAAATTTCTTTCTAACAAGGTGCCACACGACCCCCTTTGTTATTTAAAATTTTCGAGGTGGCGCTTATAATTCAAAGGGGGTGCTAGAGGGGGATAATTTATTTTCATACTGTAAATTAACAATTTAAAAATAAAAATTGACCTGTTTCAGGTTTTTTCAGTACATAATAATACTACAAATGAATTTATTTCATACATATGGGCCTCATGGTATATTCATTATGTATATTAATTTACATTGCGTAAAAATTGTATATTGTTTTAGATGCTCTTAAATTTAATCTCAATGATTCAGGATTCGTATCAGCATTGCCTTATGTAGCAGTAGCGTTTGTAGTACAAATTGCAGGTCATCTTGGAGACTACGTGCAGTCTAAAAACGTATTCACTGTTGGCCAATTAAGAAAAATTTTTCTTGGAGTTGGTTTCTCATTTCAGTGCACATTCATGATCATCTCTGTTCATTGGGTTTCGACAGTTACTACGACTTTCTGCCTCGTCTTAGCGATTGCATTTGGAGGCTTTACAATGGCTGGTTTTGCGTAAGTATTTTTCCGGATATAATGTATTAATTGTGATAGAAATTGTTTTTTTAGGGTCAATAACTTGGATCTGAGTCCGAATTATGCGAGTATCATTGTAGGCATTGCGAATACATTTGCAACTTTGCCAGGGATTATTAGCCCCATTTTAACCGGATATCTGGTTACCGACGAAGTAAGTGACGATATTATTAGCAAATTATTATTTTGAAGCTATTTTGTATGTTTTTTTTTATTTATTTTTCAAAAAAAAGTTAAATGATAAAAATATAAGAAAAAAAGATTAGTACTCAAAAAAGAAGTAAAGCATGTCTGACAGTGACGATATTAGCTCAGATGATGGTAAAAGAAAGAAAAAACATGAACCAGAAGAAATATTTGACAGAACTAAAAAATACAGCATTGGATAAGAAAAAATAAAAACAAATGTAGCAAATAGCCAGAATCGAATTTAATTAATGGGACAACTAGTAAATGATTACAAAAGGCAAAATAAGAAGACTGAGGATATAAAAAATATAGTAGGAACTATAGTAGATGAAATCTAGGAGATTAGGAAGGGGAATAGTGAATATAAACAGCAAATGAATGAGTTAATAAAAGAAAACGAAAATCTGACAAAGGAAATCGCGATCATAAAACAAAAAAATGGAGAAAATAGAATTAACTATATACGTAGGTATGCTAGAAAGAAAAGGGAAAAAGAACTTAATATTAGGCTTACCAGTAGATATACTAGATAAAGAGCAACTAAACATCAAACTTGAAATATTTATAAACAAAGAATTGAAGATAACAACAAAAAGAATGAGAGCAAAAAAAAATATATATGATGTTTGTTATTGAATTTAAAAATTAAAGAAAAATTAAAATTATTGAAACACCGAGTATACATAGAAGGTGACCTGACACTAAAAAAATAGAAATACAAAGAACAGTTACGAACATATTCGCAAACGAACGAGCAAAAATGAAAAAAAAAAAAACAAAAATAAGTTATAGATTTATAATTATAGAAGAAACAAGATGATAATGGTTATGGAACCAAATAACAAACATGATAAAAAAGCTACAAACAATAAAGTATAAGCTAGTTAAAGAAAACTAGTAAAAGAAAATACATGGAGAGGACGGAAAATGGAAAAAGCACGTAAGAAGGACGGGAGTGAATATAAAGATGATAACAAAAATGGAACCATGGAATTTAAGAGGGAAAGAAATACATCTGGGGAAAGGAATAGGAGACAAGAAGATCGAAGTAGTAGCGTTAACAGAAACAAAAAGGAAAGCAATTTAAACTACGACTTTGGAAAACGGAAACTTACCAATATACAGTGGAGTAGAACAGAAAAAGAGAGCTCAGGCAGGGATAGCATGTATGGTAAAGAAAAATATCATCAATAAAATAAGGAATTTGATATATTTCAGTTAGCTTATACTTGGAGTTGATATAGAAATGGGTACAAAGAAAACGATTACAAACTTAATTTCATGCTATGGACCTGATAAAAATGCAACAAAAAACAAAAAAAAAATAGTTCTGGGTCAAACTGCGAGAAAAAATAAATGATTGCACAGCGGAAATAGTAATCACAGGGACATCCCCTCAAATATTTGTTAGCAGATACTCTTCTACCGACTCGTCAAAGCCACAGCTCCAATTGGACTCAATCAAACTCCTCCCATCCCAAAAGGCAGCCTCCGTGCGAACTACCAAACTCCTAGATATCCACGACATCACGGCAAAACTCCGAAAAATCACTCGGGATAAAGTCATCTTAATATCAGCACACAAATCTAGCAAACCTCATAATTTGCATCTCGCTCTAAAAGATTCACAAACCTATCACTTAGTCATAGCTTAGCATCTCAGCAACGAATGCTCAGAAAAATCATTGACTTGTCCATTTTACACCTCAATACACAACCAAAAAACTATAAACAAACTTAACCCGTATACTCTCCTAAACAAATCTCCTCATACGACCTTTCTCTATGAAATCCTTAATTCATTTCACTTCCATGATCCTTTTTAATGTCTTTCCTGAAAAGAGGAATGACACTATCCACTATCTCAACCAAATGTCCAAAACTCTATATGAATACGCCATAACCACCTCCTGTTTTAATAACCTAATAAACCAAACCTTTATCCAACTCCGTACATAAACACACATCACTACATCTATATGCACACCGATATACTCATACCAATAACCCACACACATCATTTAAACATACACTTATCATTTACCCATATATACACTTTACTTCCACCGAGCTCACATTCATAAACATATAAACATCCAGGAAAAATTCAAACAACACACAACCAATAATTACACTAACATACCATATTCATAAACACCTAATCACAACACCAAAGGATAAACAATGAGCACCACACACACTCCTTAAGAGTCGATATCAAATCACAAGGACAGGGGGTAGATTGATTTTCTGTGGTTTCCCAATTTAATTGCACAACGATACCTGATCCTAGGTAAGGACATAGCCACAGCTATCCTCCACGCGTTTTACCCAAACAAACAAAAGGCCAACAATCTAAAAAGGGCCGTTTTCCCATGGAACTTGTACTTAGTAGCAGGCTTGTAACGCCCTGTCTCGGAGGATGGCAGCTCGCAACTCACACTAAATAAAAAATACCATCCTTGAAGAAGCGGAAAGCTTAAACAAGGTAAAAACTCGTCTTAAACAAGGCGGAAAATAAGTACTTTTAGAAGTCTTTAAAAAAAGCAGATATACAGGGTACTTAGGTATTTATTAAGAAATAGAGAAAGTGTATATCTTTTATTATCTTGAACTTTGCTATTTAACTTTCTTCTATAGGACTTGTGGTTTTACCGGAAATAGCGAGAAAGCGTTTCTTTTAATCCTTATAAATTCACCCCTTCCTTTTCTGTGCAACAGATCACCCGTACATTATCTTTCCTTTAACTGTTATTATATTTTATTCCTTTTTCAATGTGTTAATGAGTTTCCTGTTTTCAATGAATCGTCAAACGGGCCATGGAAAACTCAATGGGAAATTCTAAATTGTCGAATTCCTGCTTCCTTAATAATTTTACATCAAAAGTCATAAGAAACTATGTGTAGATGAGTAAAATCTGTATTAAAAACAAATGTAATTGTTTTACGAATTAATCGAACTTCAAAATTTTGCAAAAATACAATACACTTTTTAGGCCACCCCTAAAAGTCAGGCGACACGTAGTGCAAGACTGTGTATGACGTGTTGTGTTTGACCATATTAATGAGAGGATAGGATGTTTGACAATATTTAAATTGTTAATATTTTTATTTTATGATTAACTACCCTAATAGCACACGTACGTCCGGTGGACGTTCATAGTACGTCCCTCACGGATTTTAAGGACGTCCCTCGAACGTCCGCTTTGGTCCTATTTACGTCCGTTTAACGTCCTATATTGGTCCAAATGTAGTTGCGCCGAAAGCAAGAACGGTTGATTACATAGGATAGTTCCATCGCCCAAAATTGTCTGTCACTGCAACACGCGGCTGTGACGTAGGCGTGGGGATGACGAGCAATTATTGACCTTATTGTTACTATTAATTTTTACTGAAGATGAGCCTAATTTGAGATTAAAAAGTTTAAAACGAAAAACTTACGTTTTGTTTTGTAAATAAATGACAGATAATAAGATTTTTAATCGTACCTAAGACATTCAGACTTATAAATTCTTAATGATCTGTTTTACATGGCAAATAAAATTTATTTTCGAAATGAATAAATTTGCTATTGTTATAATTAAATTAATAAATGCTAGTTTACTCTCAAAGTAAATATTTCTGGTAAATAAAATTTATAAATCCGTGCTTTAGTTATGTAGTCAGAGCACAAATTAATATCCAATAACATTTGATGATAAATAAAACTATTCAATACTGAACTGATATTTATTTCATAAACACACATAGGTAAAACTAAACAGTATACACTAGTAGGAAACTTTAGAAACATTCCCTATGGAACAATTTTATTTAATTTTCTAATTTTTGACCTAGTTGAATCCAACACGGATAAGTTTTTTCGCTTAAAATTTTCAGCTTCCTTGGATTTTAAATTTCTATAACGTATTCTAATTATTGTTATAAGTTTACATAAGTTTTTAATAAGCGCATATGGCAACACTTTTTCTTTTTTAAAATCCTTTTTGAAATGTTTCCAACAACTCCATTATTTTTCTTACAGGTATCAATATATTTTTCATAATATTTATTCCACAATTTTATTTTTATGAACCACTCATCTGTAGGCTTGATAAGACCTCCATAAGAGAATTGCTGCACCCATGCTGGTAAACTATAACTATGTTCACTAAGTTTGTATGTGAAATTACCTTTTATACTTGTTTAATAATTATTCGTTGTATTTTGCTTCTAAATCTACTTCAGGCTTTAAATCTATATTGTTACCAGCTTGTTCAAAAATTATTTCAGATTCAGTAATAGTATGTTCATGTTGATAAGATGCAATATTCAAAATAATTAACCCAACCTTTATAATACAAGTTGTTTTCTGTTTATAACATCTAATCTACCTTCACCAGTGGAGACAAGTGTGTCAAAGGTATGTTTATACAAACAAAGTGTTGGAACTGCAGTTTTCTCAACTTTAAACAGTTGCGTTTATTAGGTAAACCTAAAATAAGTTCCAAAAATTTTTATAGGCATTTTTTGCTTAATCATTTTACTTAATAATTAATTTTGAAGATCTCTTTCATAGTCATTGTTTGTAAAAATGGCAGAGCATATTCTACTAGAATCCGGATTAAAATTATCAGCTCTTCTGCATCGGTTAACCCCTTAAGCTCTTATAGGTTTCGACACTAAATCGTTTTCTTTTGGAAAACTCTGAAAAACTGTTTGGTTTTCACACTCTTAAAATTATTGTCACAACCATATATGGCACACATATTACCACCCATTTTGTTTATACAAGTAAATTGATATAGAAACAATAATTAAATATTCTTATAAGGCCGTTAAATCTCTAGTACAACAAAAAAATTGGCAACAGGCACAACTATTCTATATAAAACAATACGAAATGTCAACCAAGAATCCCCACGCCTACGCCACACTCAACACAACGCATTTCTTACATTAGAGCATAGGACAAAATCAATACTATCTGTGTTTAGGGTCCTTGCGCCGAACGTCCTATGGACGTTCATTTTACGTCCCGAGCGGACGTTAGTTGGACCTACCGAGACGTTAATTGGACCTTAATCGGACGTCCATAATACGTCCGGAGGAATTACTTGACGGACTTTTGTGATGTTCTCGGACGTCTATTTTAGCGCTGAGGATGTAAATTAGACGTCAACGCCATTGTATAAAGTACTAAAAGTGGTGTCATCCTGTGCATATTAAAAATGTATTTTGGGAAATAAAACGTAAATGTTTAAAGGAACTTAGGTACATTTATTGTTACATTTATTTATACAGTGCTTTTCAGATAAAACTATCCACCTTAAATAACTTTTGAACCTCTAATTTTTTGGAAAAACGCAAGAACACGTCAATTAATATTTGAAGGGGGAGACGTTATATCATATTTAAGGTTGCTGGGAAATACACCCTTTCACCCCCTGCATCAACCCTTTATTTTTTTTAAATTACTTCCCCCTTTTTTATTTTATATTTAGATTCTCCTTTTTGTGTTGATTTTAAAAATGTATAATACCTTTGGCTTAAAGTGATTAGTTTATGAGATAGACAATTTTCCTGTTACCAAGGATACTATCTCTCTCACCTTAAATGACTGTAACAAAGAGGTTGTAGCATAATTTAAACTTTTTAAATACTTAACCTTACTATTTGTAGTACCTTCAAAAACCAAGAAATAAAAAAATCACTTTTTATTAAAGTTTTATCAAAAGTTAAGGATAACCTTTCCGAAGATTTGGTTGTATTTCAACATGATAGAGCTTCTCCACACTTTGCTTTACCTGTGCGATAACTTTTAAACGAAACGTTTCTTGGTCCTTGGATAGGGTAAAGACGATAGATGATCGATTAACCACCTAGGTCACCGGATTGAACACCCCTAGACTTCTTCTTTAAAGGGTATTTAAAAACAAAAATTTATGCTATTCAACCAGAATCTCTAGATGATATAGGACAAAGAATAGAGGATAAATGTCGACAATTAAATGCAGACGTGTTAAGCAATGTCAGAGAAAAATTTCAAAAGAGATTATACTATTGTATGGAAGTGAAGGTCAGTCATTTTGAATCAATTATTGTAAAAAATTTTAGTAGTGAAATGTTCATTCTAAATGTGTGTAATAAATTGTTAAAAAATAATTTTTTTTCTATCCAATTTTCTTGCTTTTGTATTTATTTTTCTCATACACTAATCACTTCAAGCATCATATATTATACATTTCTGAAATCAGGACAAAGAGGAGAATCCAAATATCGAATAAAAAAAGGGGAAGTAATTTAAAAAAAATAAAGGGATGATACGAGGGGTGAAAGGGTGCATTTCCCAGCAACCTTAAATATGGTATAATGTCTCCCCCTTCAAATATTAATTGACGTGTTTTTGCGTTTTTCCTAAAATTTAGAAGTTCAAAAGTTATTTAAGGTGGATATTTTTATCTGAAAAGCACTGTATTTATTTACATTATAGAAATATAAAATAATTTTGAGTAATAAAACATAAATGTTTAAAGGAACTAACATTTATTATTACATATATTTATTTATTAATAACAAATGGAACAAATTTACTGTCAAAATTATACAAAAATGGAACATTATAGAAATATACATATATACAGATGTACAGAAACAAAATTACAGATAATAAAATATACATGAATAAAATAAATAAGTACACATTTATAAAAAGTTTCATTTTGCATTTTAGTGCTTCAAATAGTTCCTGAAGCTATTGATAAAAAAGTTTCAGACCATACATATGTGTGAACCATTATAATTATTATTCTCATATTATAAATTTGGTTTATTGTTTTTTAATTAGCAAATTTTAAAATTTTATAAAACTTTATCTTTAGCAGGGTTGATAACAAAACAATAACAAATATTATTTGGTTTTAGACGAGCATTGAACAATGGAGGATAATATTTTACATTGCTGGTGGTATATATCTTATCGGAGGATTGTTCTATTGCATTCTTGGATCGGGTGATCTACAGACTTGGGATAAAGTACCAGGAGACTTAAAGGAAACTGCAAAAGAAACTTACGTCAATTCAAATTTTCAGTCTGAAGAGAATATCCCTAAAAGTTGATTATTATAAAAAAAACTAAAACATAAATAATAACTGTGATTATAGTACGTTTACTGGTGTTTTGTTTTTTTATCAATATATAAGTTTTAAGTATATCTATTTTATTTTTTGGATGTATTTTTTGTCGTATTTTATTTAGTAGCATAACTGTAACTATATTTTTAACAAAAAATAAATAAGATTGAATTAAAAGTAGCGTTATTTTTAAAAGAAATTGATTATTGTCGTGGATATATACAGGGTGGCCCATACAGGGTAGTTCTACCATCTAAGTGTGAGTTCCATGTTATCTTCCTGTCAAGGGTAATACCAAGGTAATTCACCTCGTCAGAAAAATTTAGACTATAGTTTAAAATCCTTTAGAGTATTAAGCCCGTGATTTTGTTTTTTTTTCTGCTAAAGAGGACTATCTCCGTTTTCTTAGGATTTATAGATAGTGAGAGTTCCTTGCACCATGTTCCTATTAGTCGGAGAGCAACTTGTAATCTCTCACATAGTGTGTTCTCAAACTTATTGCTTTGCAGGACAGCAATATCGTCTGCATAGGCTATTGTGTAGAACCCGTTGCTGCTGAGTTGGTTAACCAGGGTATTCTTGGTCTTCTACATTTATGCTTATTGCTTTATTACAGAGCATACTGAATATTCATTCGCTTACGACCAGGGGAGCATTCCTGAGGTTGAGCTGTTGGGTGACGGATGGGTTGGGTTTTATTAAACGCTCCCTCAATATCTATGAATGTACCTAGGGTGAATTCTTTATTGTCCAGCGATCTTTTAATTCTTTCCACTACATGATGCAGTGTCGAATCGGTAGATTTTCCCGAAGTATCTGCGAGCTGATTTGTGTAAAGTGGGTTATGAACCAGAACTTCATCCCTTATGTACCTCTCGCATAGCCTTTACATCGTCTTCAACAGAAAGGATGTTTGGCTAATTGGTCGGAAAGCCTTTGATAAGGTGTAGTCCATCCTACCTGGTTTTGCTATGAAGACCACACGTACCTAGGATATGTATCTCAGAGCCAAAGAGGCTCTGAATATTTGAACAAGATGTGGCAGAAGGATATCCAGTCCCCACCGTAGTAGGGCTGGATATATGCCGTTAAGACCTCGTGATTTGAAAGGGGTGAAGCACAATATGGCCCATTTTATCTTTTTCTCATTAATCATTGTTCTAATGAGATGCTAGTCATTTATTGAGGGCGTGATTGCTTCTTTCATCCAGTTTGGTGCTGTTGAGGCGCTAGAACCGAGGAAGTGTGTTTTCATCAGGACCTCAGCACTTTCGCAAAGGTTGGAAGTTTTGGTTCCATCTTCCTTCGTTAATATGCCGACATGCCAATGTGGGTCCTTTGAAAGCGCTTTTTGTAGACTGAAAACCTGAGCGAAATCTTCGATTTCGCCACAGAAGATTCTCCAAGCAGCTCTTTCTTTTTGTCTGCAGACTTTCTTAATCTCTCTGAGATTTGATTGATAAGAATCCCAATCATCTTTGAGTTTGGTTCGTTTTGCTCCATTAAAAGCTCTTCTTGCTATCTTTGGAAGGTGTGCTAGTTGGTTATGCGACTTTCTTGGACCATCCTTGGACTTATTGGACAGGATTTTTTATAAGCATAGCTTATTTTGTTTAAAATGAATACCGTATACTTTTCAATCTGTATTAGTTCTCGAAGTTAAAGCCTTTTTATTCCGCAGAGCATTTTTAAAGTCGGTTTAGTCTAAATTTCACGCGATTTTATAAAGCTTTTTTCCAGACTAATATTATAGGTTAGTCAGCGGTGGTCAGACATAGAGATGTCCTCCGATACTTGCTAGTTCTGAATTTTATTCGATATTTCAGCTGTTGCTAGCGTGATATCTATAACTTTTTGGCTACGAACATTAATAAAAGTAGGTTTGGTGCCTCTATTTAAGATATACAAATCTTTTCTAATAATATAGTCATACAGAGACTTACCTCGAGCGTTGTTATCTCTGCTGCCCAAGTCTAAAAGGTGAGAGTTCGAATCTCAGCCGATAATAAGTTCTGCCTTCTAACTGAGACAACAGTCTACCAGAACTTTGATTTCTGTTGTTGGTGGTAGGGTGGTTGCATCTGAGGGTAGGTAGACTGACGCTAGTATCAACTCTCCCTTTTCCCATGGGCATTTCACTTTAACCGCAGTTATATCTAAGGTGCAAAACTGCGTCATGGGGGAGGCTTTGGTTTTCCTGGGAACGTATATTGTTGTTCTTGGTTGTTGATTGCTTGGTAAGCTGAAAATTTGACGCTTTAGGCTATAAAAACTAGTTATTTTGGTCTTAGATCAAGGTTCTAGGATTAGTGCTATTGCGTTCTTTTAGAAGCCATGGCAGCCATATCATCTTGTCCAATTCCGAAAATGAACAGGTGTCCATTAGGATCCTTTTTTACCTTATTGTGGAAGATGCACCATCTCGCAACTGCTATGTCTGAATTTTGCGCCGTTATACAGCCGTTTTTCAGCCATGCAAGCGCACCATCGTCATCTCACCCTAGTTAGTCCACGATTTGAACGTGGATGCTTTTACCTGGCTGATGGAGGTGGACAAGATTGCTCTGTCCAATTCCTCGATCAGGCTGCATTTAATAAGGTTTGCCTGGTCTTCTGCCTTCCATACGGGTTTACCTTATCTATAATAGAGACCTTAAGATGTCTTATAGCGGCTTCCGCGAAGCTTTGGGAATGAGCAGCAGCGTTTCCATCACTGCAGGACTTTTTATGTTTCCATTTAGTGCCCTCCGTGGAGGTACTTGGGTGCTTTACACCGAAGGCTGTCGGTCCCTATCCTCTTTTGGAGTTGGAACCGTTCCCAGCCTTCGATGTGGGTACCTTCACCTTTGTTTTGGGAGGGGCTGGAGAGGGATGAACTGCTTCCGCGGGTGCTTTTCCCATGGCCTCTCTGCCCTTACTCCTTCTTTTTGCCTGGGCGCCACAAATTTTGCGGCGCTTTGGCCGATTTTCCTGAGGTGGTCCTTGTTCATCCTCCGCTTGGGCCGAAATTTAAGGTGGACGTTGCTGTTCATTCTTGGCTCCGGCTTCAGGCTGAGGTAAACGTTTTGGTCCAGCCTCCGGTTGGGCCGAGGTTGGAGGTGAACATTACTGTCCATCTTCAACTGCGGCTTCAGACTGAGGTGAACGTTTTGGTCCAGCCTTGAAATTTGGTTTTGGTTTTTTGTTTTTTTGTACATTCATGTTGTTCCCATGAGTAGCTAGGGAAAGGTTGGTCGCCCCTGGCAAAGCCCCACATTACCAGTGAAGGCTTTATACAATGGGTTCTGCCTGGTTCTCCAGGGGAATCGTTCACGATCACATAAAAACCTGTGGCCATACAGCCATCGGCACGAAGTCTTAGCTTTTTCTTATATTGGGGAGAGGGGCACCTTCGGTTACTTACACTCCGGGCCTCCTGAATTGTTACGCCACTGCCGTTTGGTGCGTCTTAAAAGTTTTTGTTTTGCATTTTTTATATTAATTTATGGCAGGTGCAACGACGTGAAAACTGATGCAATTTATGTCGCGTTCCGAAATTAAAACAAAAGAAAGAATATTCCGAGGCCAATCAAATTTATAGCTCTTACATTTTTTGACTTTTCAATTTGGTCGGGTTCACGATATTATCAATTTTGTGTGAACGCATTAGATCTTCCAACGCGAACACGCACACATACGAACGCGCGCACACACACATACATTTGATTGAATTTGAACTTTGTGCAGCGACAATAAAGCGCAAATTGAATCTTCGACGTTAGGAACACACCCATATTGTTTAGACAACACTGAGTGCTTGTAATTTATTATAAACTTTATTGAATAGCAATACATTTAGCTACAAAAATATTTGTATGGTAAAAAGAAAAGGGCTGTTTTAGGGTTTTCCCGGAAATTATTCGAATTTTTCATGCCGTAAAAACCATCCTTAGACTTTAAGGAACATTTTAAAAAAAGAAATGTTAAGATTGGTCCATGGCCTTGTTGAGTTATGCGCTTACCAACACATTTTGCGATTCATTTTCATATTATAGATTGTTTAGACAACAGTTCTAGTTTAGAATAAACTTTTTAATCATTACATGATTTAGTTCGATAATATAAGCCTTTCTCTTCAATTTGGTGCTTCCAGAATTTATGTAGACCCAATATTTCACGCATAATAATGTAGTAGATACAAGCTTTCTTTAGATTAAAGAGTGTCTTGGGAAAATCGTTACTTGTCGTTTGTCTGGTATATGAAGGAGGAGGCAAAAGAAAAGTGTTTGTTTTATTATTTTTTAATTTTCCAATAACAAGTACACATTAAACAAATATTTGGCCTTCGCAAACTATCTTTAAAATAATTAGTAATAGATTAACAGGTACCTAGTTAAAAATAAGTTAATTTGCATTCCAACTACCAAAATAATAAAGTAATTTAGTAACTATAAAAACAATTATCTTTTAGTGACCTCTTGTTTTAAGGAAAGAAACCAGTCCTAATGATCGTTTATCACATTAGAAATGTTCCAAATAAAGTCATCGTTAGAAACCATAAACCATTTAGACAGTTTATATGTTTATAGTTTAATTATTATACACTTTAATAGTTATAATAAATGTCGGATCATTGGAACCACTTGCTACTTTTTGGCAATTAAAACGTATGGCTCGTGTTTTTGTCCAGTATTTTATTCGTAGATATTTCAGTATTTTGAAGAAAATGAACGTATAATGGCTTTAATTATCGGTAACATATCAGTAAATATCACGTATAATGTACTATTTTTAAGCGAGTCTTGCTCGTAGCGGTTAGTAGTGAAAAACATGTGGCAAAAATGGTTTATGTGACTGACAAAAATATTGAAGCTACCGTTAGTTGTAAAAACGAAGAAATTGAAAGGTAATAAACAATTACGTTATTGATTTTGTGTGTTTTATTACTAGTATTAGCTCTGTGAGGCTGATAGATACTTAAATTTAAGTTTTAATAGCATTTAAAGGTAGGACTGAAAAGTTTACATTTGCCATTACAACTATTTATATTTTGTTTTAATTATATAAAATACATTTAATATTTCTCATAGTCTTTCCATACATTTCATAACCACTTCCTCCCATTTACTTATGTCCAATGCTTTTTCTTTCCAATCCTCAATATTACTTTTTTGTAAGTCTTTATATACGCTGCCTTTTCATCTCTTTCTTGGTGTACCTTTCCTTCTCTTTTGTGTTGGCTTTCGTGAGAGTATCATTTTCGGAATTTTTTTTCTCAATTTCTTCAATGTGTTTTAAATTACTCTTGTTATTTTAGGCTCTTTATATGAGTTCTTCGATTTCTTTATTATTTCTTCTTTTTCATTGATCATCTATTTTCATACCTCCACATATTGCTTGTTGTATGTTTCTCTCCCATTTTTCTAAAAGCTCTATTTATAATTTCCTAAGCATCCATATTTCGCGTGGATATGTAGGTAGGCGTAGAGCTGAATTTCCTGAATCCATAATTTTTGTTTCTTTTTGCTATTTTTGCCTTTTGTCTCTTTTTATCTATTTTTATAGTCAGGAAATAAAGAAGACAATTTAATTTGCTACAAATAATGTCTTATAAACTTTTCTGTGGGATTGCTAATTTACAAAATGCAGCACCAAAAACCCTTTGTCACCCTTTTCCATGACGGCGCCCGGGGAAAAGGATGGTGAACCCAAAAACTTGAACTTAACCCTTCACTGCTTTTATTTTTCGTTATAAAACAGTTTGCAGACTGGATTTTCGTTATTTTTGAGGAAAAAATACACTTCTCCAAGAAATTAACGCACCACTTTGAAATATTAAAATATTTTATTATCGTTAATTAAAATTTCCATTGTAATGTTATATTTTGCAAGCCCCTTGTATATGCTATTCGTACACTCTATATTTTCGGCTACTGTTTAATTGTTGATTATTGTTAATTGTGTTTATTATGGAGCATCAATTACGTAATTTAACCCGAGATGAATGTGCCCAAGCAGTGATACTGTCGGAAGAAGGTTGGAGTTACCGAAGAATTGGTCGTCGGTTTAATGTGTCCCACACATCGATCTCACGAGTGTTGGAAAGATTCCTCGAAACAGGGGATCATACTCGCAGACCAGGAAAAGGACGAAACCGGGTAACTACCCCTATTCAAGATCGATTTTTAAGAATTTCTGCTCTTCGACAACGTTTTGTAACACATCGAAGTCTACAAATTCAGCTTCGAGACGTGCATGCTATACAAATTAGTACTGAAACTATTCGCCAACGACTAGGGAATACAATTAACACCTAGGATTGCCGCCCGAGGTCCTCTATTAACTGCAGAACATCGAAGGGGAGACTACATTTTGCCAGAGAACACATTAATTGGTTAGAGGCTGACTGGGAACGAGTGCTATTTACTGATGAATCCCGATTTTGTTTGTACAATAACGACAGACGTGTTCGTGTGTTGCGACGACCCAACGAACGATATGCTCAGTGTAACTTCTCACACACCACATTTTTTGGTGGAGGATCCGTTATGGTGTGGGGTGGTATTTCTTTGACCGCACGTACGGACCTAGTGGTCATACAAAATGGAACTGTTACAGCGGAAAGGTACATATTGGAGATCCTGAGCAACATGTAGTACCATTCGCTCCTTATATCGGTGAACATTTCTTACTAATGCAAGATAATGCCAGACCTCACGCTGCACAGATCGTCAGAAATTATCTAGAAGAGGTAGAAATTAACACTATGGAATGGCCAGCACATAGTCCGGATTTAAATCCGATTGAAAATATCTGGGATATACTTGGTACGCGATTAAGAGCGACACCGCTCCAACCAAACAACTTACAGGAAGTGGGAGAGAGGCTGATGCAGATTTGGAGAGAACTAGACCAAAATGAAATACGGCAATTCATTTTAAGTATATGCCAACGATGTGAGGCTGTTATACATAGTAGAGGTGGAAACACTCGTTATTAAGACTTTTTTCATATTTTAGTTTACTTTTCTTATCATTATTTTTTCAGAATTTTCCGTTTTATTTTTTTTCTCCTGTACTTCAACATTTTCTGATGATTAGACAAATTGTTATAATTACTAATAAAATGTAGAATAAATCTGGTGAAGTTTTATTTTTTATTCTTTGCCTGTTTACAAATAAAATTGATTTATTGAAGTGGTGCGTTAATTTCTTGGAGAAGTGTACCTAATAAAAAAAAATTATGAACAACTATTTTTTTTAAATTGGAAAAATATAAGTGTTGTTTATGAACAATATTATGCAAATAAGGATTTACTTAAGAAAAACAATATTTAGGAAAAATGAATATTTTTAAAACAGTTGTTCGTTTTAGTGAAGCAAAGTGCTACACCACACTTTTCGCACAACACATGTGTAGAGTCATTGCACTGTAGAAATTTGCACCTTATTTGTTTTTCGGACCATATAGGCCAATGGTGAATTATATCCATCCGAACATCCTTTACTGGCATAACCTGTGCTGGGCCTTTTCTCTTCTTTATTTGTAGCGCCTTCTCAGTTTCACTTGCTGAAGGTCTTCTCCTTTTTGCAATGGTGAATCGCTCTCCTGTCCTGCACAATGCTTCTGCTAGTTGTGTTTTAAACTGTACGTGTGTGACTTAAGGCTTCACGCCAGTTTTATGTTCAGCTGAATTCTTGTAAAGAATCCAACTGTTAGCAAAACCCCATTTATGTAGATTATTTGATAGGTACTGCTTCATGTAGTGCTTAGCTTTGGTAGAACAAATTTGCTCATCGACGGACAGATATTGTCCCAATGGAATTCCGATTGAAAATTCTTCATTGAGGTGGTCAATTATTGGTCTCATTTTATAAACTCTATCGTAGTTTGAATGGTCACGAAATAAGGCATTGAAATGTAAAAATTGTCTGATTTTTTCGTACCTATTGACTGACATAGTACTTTTTATTTTCTCAAAGCCAATTTCTTCTGACCAATATGCCCTTGTATTGGGCAAATTAACAAGGGACATATATATTGTAATTCCAAGAAACTGCTTTATGCCACTTCGTGTAATATTCAGTTGTGTGGCATATAAATTTGACTCCTCTACAATTTTGTCTAAAAGGCTATCTCTAAATTCAAGTGCTGATAAAATTAATTTTTTTCATATAACGTCTAAAAATAAAAAACATATTTTTGATCACAAATTGATTATAAAATAAGTATATCCTTGCCCTTGGAGTAAACCTTAGTTTTTGGAGGCTCCTCCTCTACAGTGCTATTAACTATATTAGTGTATGCAGCATTGTCATCCATTTCGTTCACTGCTTCAGAATCATCATTATCAGACTCATCATATGTACCAACTTGTTCGTCAGGTAAGAAATCTGGATAGACAATATCATCATCATCATCATCATCAAACTCATCTTCGCTATCCCAAAGCCTATCTATTATATCGGTAAGTTCCTTGTCAGTCAGTGGCCTTTTATCTTTCCAGCTCATGATGTTTTATCTAAAAGATAAAAATTACTAGATACGCATGATGTTGTTTGTAAAAAACAACAAAAAACAACAATATGAAAAAATTATGTGCAGTACTGTATAACGCAAGACATCATGCGTTTTAGTTAACTTATTAATAACATGCAAAATATATTTACTCAAGTTACTTTGGTAAAACTAATAGAAACAATCTGAAGCACGTGTCAGTGTCTAATCGTGTACACTACCTAACAAAGAAGACAAAACATTGTTAACCAACATCATCTATGATTGTTTAGTCTACTTACGCTGACTAATACTGCATTGTTAGTGAACAACGTCATGCACAAACTGATTCATCTTATCTGGCATTAAAATAAATGTTTATTTTTAGTATGTTGTTTTTAAACAACATGATGCAGTCAAGTGTTAGAGCGAATCACCCCCATATATCAAAAAAAAATGCGTTCTCTTAAAAATTGTAATCTTCAAGGTACTATAATTGATAAACATATAAATAATATGCAGTTTTTTTTCAGTTCACGCATCTCTGCAAGCCGTTTCCCTGTTACTCCTGGGCTTTCATTGTTTTCTGGTCTCACTATTTTACTGTCTATCCTCTATGCCTATCCTTTTTTCTAGGTAGATTTCTATTAGTACGTGATCATCTTCAATTTCATGAATTGTTTCCATTTCGACTTCTGAATTGTAAATATGAATGAGTCAATTTTTTATCAAGTAATAATATTTTGTATTTTAGTGGAAATGGTAAAGTCAAATAAACTTATTTTAAAGTAAACATGTGACTTACCCCCCTTAAAGTTTTTTTAAGCTTCTGTTTAAGCTTTTGGCTTACCTAGTTTTCCTTTCTTATTAGAGATATAACAATTTTAATAATCTGTATTAGACTTATTTTTTTAATACTTTTATTGGAACCCATCTTTAGTATTTCTAGCCATATTTCCCTAAGTTTTATTAGGACTACATTTCATAATTTTTCTAATAGTTATCAAATTATAAATTGTTATATTTTATTAATTATTCTCTTTATTGTTTAAGTGAATCACACCATCCACCAGTATGGCTGTTTTGGAAAGCAAGAAGATATATTGTTACTATATTGGTATTTTTTGGACTCTTTTGCGATTATGCCCTAAGAGTCAATATGAGTGTAGCAATCGTAGCTATGACCCAATATGAAAATGTTACTCTAGAAAATGGAACCACCGTTCTGGTAAGGAGAATATATTTAAGTTCTTAAATTAGATTAAATATAACAATAGATCAAAACTAGTTACTAAGTTTTATATCTAGAAAGTTGGGCTTTCGATAAGTTCCTTTTCATTGAAATATTGGCTGCACGGCATTCGCTGAATCCCCTTTTTTATGTTCTTTTATATCTTTGCTCATTTTTATGTCAACCAGATAGGGTAATTTGTGAAAGAAAAAAATAAATAAATGAATATTTGAATGAATGTAATTTACAACTGCAACTCTTTTTAGAGTACGTTATTTTTGTGATATCTCACTATAAGTCGCCAAAGACGAAAATGCTACTGAACTCCTAAAATCTATACGAAAAAGCTGAATTTTTCTGAGAATGTTACCTTTGGGACCCCAAAAAAGATGCAAAAATGTTTACCACTCCTACCCGTTGACTTCTCCGTAAAACTCCATCCTCGTAGGGGGAAAAACGAAAACAATCGATTTACCAAGAATCTGTACTCCGTAGAAAAAAATGTTTTAAATAAAAAATGTAGCTGAGATAATTTTGAACAAAAATGTTTATAAGCAATTTTTGTGTAGAATGAACCGTTCTCTTAGGAACAATGCTTGAAGCGACCGGCGGTTTTAAATGTTAGTTACGCGCGCGAAATCAACATTTTACCATCAACTCGATGGTAAAAATTCAAAAGGTGTTAAACAAATAAACTTTGTGCGGTTTTTGCCATTTTTTACGATATTTATGAGATTAATAAAATTTATTACTATGAAATTTTCAATACTAGAGCCTAATCTTTGAAACCTATTGCATTCAATTTTGATTTTAAGTTTTAGCAACAAATGTGAGGCATTTGAAATATTTTGAAGGCATTTGAAAAAACGCTGAATTTAAACTTTCATATTACAAACAATTTAAAACGTTTAAAACTGCTTCTTTTCGATCATACAAATACGTTTTTCTAAACTGCATAATTTCAGCTACAAATTACACTAAATATCGTATTCGTAAAGGCATTTCAAATGACGACGTGTATTTATTGAACAGATTTATATAAAGTGAATTGATTTGCAGTAAAATACAAAAATTTCATACAAAAGCTGCACTCTTTACCTTTAAAGCCTAATTTGATTTTTGCCGTGGGATCAGCAGATATCGAATTTTTACCGTTGAGTTGATACAAATTTTATTTAAAGTTTATTTCGCGCGTGTAACTGACATTTAATATCGTCGGTCGCTTCAAGCATTGTTTCTGAGAGAACGGTTCATTCTACACAATAATTCCTAATAAACTTTTTTGTTTAAAATTGTCTTAGCTACGTTTTTTATTTAAAACATTTTTTTCTACGGCGTACAGATTCTTGTTAAATCGATTTTCTCCCACTGCGATGGGTGGTTTAAAGGAGAAGCCGAGGATATGAGCCGTAAACTTTTTTGCTTATTTTTGAGGTCCAAAAATTGACATTCTCAGCAAAATTCAGCTTGTTCATTTAATTTTTAAAGTTCAAATCTCTGACGACTGGATTACAGTTATATTGTATATAAATTACTATTTAACTGGGAATAAGCCACAATTAAAGATAAAAATACGTTTATTGACGTTTCAATTTCCACTTCGGAAATCGTTCTCAAAATACAAACAGTAAATTAAACAAATTTTGTTTTTTGTTATATAGTGAAAAATTCTTCTAATAATTTAATTTTATCTGACTCATTTATATTGACAATTCAGACATACATTATGCATTTTAAAGTAGACGACTTTAAAATGATATTGCCAATATTGTTGAGTTGCGCTCCTGGGACGACTTTACTTATAAGATAGTTCATTCGATTACATGAAATCAACTTTAACTTGAGAATATCCGTCAGAAAAAAGTCATAGCATGTAATTCGTCTTTAAAAAGACAAACACATGACATGATGACAGTAAAATTCTCCTGTTAGTGATTCCATAGTAAATTATGAGGGAAAAACCAGGAAAAAAAACCTCATAATACTATCCCGACATTGTAAGTATTTGTTCGTGAATTTAGTTTACCTTCAACAAACGTCAAAATTCTGATTTTATATGTTACGTTATTTTAAAAAACATAAATGATGTATCCTCTATATGCTACTGACTTACTAATACTAGTATTTTCTTATTAATAACTTCCTCTTTCAATATTGGTAACCAGATCCTACTACATTCTGCCGAGGAATTTGCGACACAATTGGCCTCATTTAGCATAATTAGAGCCGCTTCTTTCATTTTTCTTTTTTTACCATCCGTTTCTTTTAGGACTACATTTGAATTATTTTATTGAACCCTATGTTTATTATCCCATGCGTGTTTACATATTTGAGATCTATCAAATTCTCTATTTTTAATATAAGATTGATGTTCACTTATTCTAACATTTAATGGCCTTGATGATTCATCTAAATAAAACTGATCGCATTCACAAGGTATTTTATAAATGCAATTCTTTGTCCTTTCTTGTTCATTGTTAGGTTTGGTTTTGGACAAAATAGATCTCAACGTGTTTGTTGTTTTGAATGTTGTTGAAATGTTGAATTTATTTCCTATCCTTTTACCTTTTTCTGATAATCCTTTTATGTACGGTATTGTTATTTTCCTCATATTATTCCTTGTGTATGCTGTAGGATCTCGTTCTAAGTTGTTCTGTTCTATTCGATCGATTGTTGAAAATTCCTTATTTGTAAACGATAATCATTTTTTAATAAAACAGATGTTAACAAATGTTTCTCCTCCAAGAACGAATTTTCGTTAGAACAAGTAATTTTGGCTCTATCGTATAAGGATTTAATTATTCCCTTTTTTTATTTTTATTTTATTCCTAAGACAAAAATAAAACAAAATTTCTTCAGCATCAAACGATTATAACAGATAATAATCGACTACTTATTATCGATTAGGAACAAGACAAAGAAATCGAATAGAAAAAAGACTACATACATATAGAAACTCTTCAAGGAGAACAGAACATAACCATAGTTAAGAGAACAAAAAGAACCGTTTCTTAATGCAAAAATACGTTTGAGATTTTATTTCAATACAAGGCTCCAATCCGTTGTTTACGGATACAACGAACAAACAATTAATAAAATGTTAAATCAAACACTACACAAGAAAGACCTGAAATTTGTTTTTCCACCACCAGAGAAAAAACCCAGTACCTTCTGTTAGATTACATATACAGGCAAAATATCAACAAAAATAGCCAAACACATAAAAAACAAAGGAATAACACCAGCTTTCCGAACAAATAACAACCTAGGCAAATATATCAAAAACAACAAGAGCCAAAATAAAAAACACTTACACAGTGGTGTGTACAAACTTAAATGTGGCGACTGCCCAAAAACGTACATCGGTCAAACTGGTAGAAACTTTAATAAACGAATAGCAGAACATAAAAGGGCTTTTAATAATAGAATATGAATTTCTACATACGTATTTCACCTTCTAGATCACAAGCATTCTTTTAATGACGAATTTAAAATTCTTCACATTCAAAATAACAGCCTTAAACTATCCTTGCTAGAGTCTATTTAAATCAACAAATTAAAAAACACAGATATAATTCTGAATGACCAACTTGAGACAAACAGTCCTCCCCTCCTCAACCTATTTCATTAGAGACTATAAAGTGTAAACGCAGATCACTTGAGAAAGGCAATCAGCTGAAACAGCTGTAGTGATAAGAGTTTAAAATAAATTTTGTGAACGTTTGAAAACAAAGTTTTCAGTAATCTATCTTTTCTCACTGTGTTTTTAACCAATTTTCTTTTGCCTTTCATATTTTGGTTCTTATTTGGCTCTGAATATTTTGTACATTCTTTTGTTGTTCTTTGATTTTCTTTTTTCTTCCATGAGTTGCAGTATATTCCATAGTTTTAATCTTTCCTCCCTTTAATTTTCCTTTCCTAGACGAAAATCACCAATGAATTCACCGCTTTTTGCTTTCGCTTTTTGCTTTACCAATTTTCACATTTAAGTCACCCATAATAATAGTAATATGTTCTTTTTTAATCTGTTTAAGTCAATTTCTAGCTATTCTGGACTGTTTATTTAAGTTGTTGCTATGACATAAAGTTAAAAGACTTCTTATCGTTAGCGATTTAAGTAAACTGCAAAATCTGTGTTTATTAAGAGCTGTAAGATAAGTGTAGAGTAATAGTGAGAAAAACTGAAAAAAATGCGCCTTGATAAAGGTATTAGACAAGGTGATACTATTTCACCAAAGCTTTTTACCTTAGCATTGGAAAATGTATTCAAACAGCTTGACTGGGAGGAAAAAGGTCTAAACATTGATGGTGTACGTTTGAATCATTTGAGGTTTGTGAATGACATAGTATTATTTAGTACAGATATCAAGGAACTGGAGCAAATGTTGAAGGAATTAAACCAGCAGTCAAATAAAATAGGTCTCAAAATGAACCTTCAGAAAACAAAAATAATGAGTAATTTACAAACTAATCTTGTTATTGACAACGTCAGTCTTGAAAATGTAGACCACTATATATATCTTGGACATACCATTAAAATCGGCAAAGAAAATCAAATAGCCGAAATAAAAAGACACATACAACTGTCTTGGGGAGCTTTCGGCAAATTAAGCTTTATTTTGAAGAATAAAGATATACCAATGTGTCTAAAAACGTAGAGTTTATGACAAATGTATCTTGCCTGTAACTACAATATGGACTGGAGACCATGGCCTTCACAAAGAAAACCTTAGAGCAGCTCAGTACAACCCAAAGAGCAATAGAGAGGGCCATGCTAGGGATTAGTTTGAGAGACAGGATTCGAAATAACGTCATTCGTGAAAGAACAAAAATTACTGATGTCTCAGAACGTATTGCAAGGCTCAAGTGGCAATGGGTCGGACACGTTGCCCGAGATAATCCCGAAAAATGGACACAAAGATTAACAAACTGGAGACCAAGAGAGAACAGGCGAGGAGTAGGCAGACCGCAGAAGAGGTGGACAGACGATATCAAACAAGTCGCGGGCAAGCAGTGGATGAGAAATTGGCAAAAGTAGAAATCGATGGAAGCAAATGGAAGAGGCCTACGTCCAGCAGTGGACGAACACAGGCTGAAGAAGAAGAAGAATAGTGAGACTCAAATTGAACAGAAGTATCACTATCTAAGTACATGTAGTTATTTTAACGCTTCTACCATACATACAAAAAGTTAAGTAGACCTAGTTAAATTTAGAACTTTTGAGGATTGTTGGTCTATTCATTCATCTTTAAACAAGGCCATGAATATATAGGTAGATTCACCTAATATGCGATGGAACAAATGGATGACTTATGTGCACCCATTTATGATTTCTATAACTTTTTATAAAAATAAGCAACAATTAACGGAATTATTTTCGCAACCTAGATCCTAACAAATATTATTGTTTCCATTATTAAAACCAATATTTTTATAGCAAAGAGACTTTGATTGGGATACAGCAATCCAAGGCCACATTCTCAGTTCATTTTACTATGGATACCTCCTTACCCAGGTGATAGGCGGATATTTATCTACTCAATTTGGAGGCAAACCTGTTTTTGCAGTAGGAATTGGTGGTGTTTCAATCTTAAATCTGCTTACTCCTTTGCTGTCAAGGGTGAATGTGTATGCCTTATTAGCAGTCAGGGTTCTACAGGGCATTTTTGAGGTAAGTACTATTTGATAAATATGTATGTTCCATTTTGTTACTTTCACATAAACAACGGGAAGTTCTCGTGGAATGGGAAGTAACCCAGCCGATTAGAAAGAGATGCAGGGACTGCTTTGAGTCATTTGTCTATGTCAGACTCTGGGGACTAAAGAACAGGTCTGTATTTCAGCGCTTAGTCTATGGAACAAACTGCTATTTACATAACCTAACTTATTATTCAAGCGTGGTTTCTAAGAGAATGGTTCATTTTTCAGAATAAATTCTTACAAACATCTTTGTTTAAAATGATCTCAACTACATTGTTTTTGAAATATTTTTTCTACGATGTACAGATTCTTAGTAAATCTATTTTTTTGCGTTTTTACCCCCCTGTCAGGGAGGTTTTAGGGGAAAGCTCCGGGATAAAAGTGGTAAACTTTTACGCATCTTTTTAGGGTTCAAAATTAATATTCTCAGCAAAATTCAGCTTGTTCGTATGATTTTAAGATGTTCAGTGGCAGTTTCATCTCTACCGACTGGAGCACAATCTGTTTATAGATAACGTTTATATTGACAATGATAACAATAAATGTCACAATGTATTAAACATACTACTTTTTTTTGATGACATGTTATTTTTTCTTTTAGGGAATGCTTTTTCCTTGCGCCAACGAGGTTTTTGCAAAATGGGCTCCGTCTTTAGAGAAGGGCCGATTGGTAACTATCGGGTTTTCTGGATGTTATGCTGGAACCCTGGCTTGTTTACCAATATCATCAATGTTGGCAGCTTACTTAGGATGGGAAAGTGTTTTTTATGCATTTGGTAATTTTCATTTTTAAAATTAAATACAATCCATGAAGTTAAAACTATTTTTAAATTATTTAATCAGACCAGAAGTGTTACCTAAAGAAGGATAAAAACGTTGACTCATTTGATCAAAAAAAAAACTTGTTTTTTGACTCAACTATATCTAACTATGTCTCTTGTTTCCCTAAATTTTTGTTATCCCATTTTTTAAATAAAATTGCTAAAAAAAACTACATTATACGCTTAATGTAACCTGCTATAAAGACATTTCTAAGTATAATTCATTTGAGAATGTATGACAGACTATTGAACGTGACACAAAGTTGCGCGGTAAGACAGGAGACAATCCCTTTTTTGAGACTCTATTAAAAAGTCCCAACAAAGTAACTTAACATATATACATTACTAAAATGTTCTCAATTCACAGCAGGAGTGTGACGTCACGACTGTCACATTGTCATTATTACTTTCCAAACAAAAGTTGAAATGTCCAACCTCAAGACTTTTTAATTTAACATTTCACTTTCTCTGCTGCTTTTTCTTGTAGGTATAGTGTTTTTTTACGATAATACCATCATAATTCGTGAAATATAGTTTAAAAATTTAAATTAGACAAATTCTAACCTTACTTTATTGATACAGGCATTTTATTGCCATTAGCATAAAAAAATGTGCTGTATTATTTACACAACCATGTAAAATTGTTGTAGTAACTTTTAGAATAGTTAAATATTGCAAAAAGCGGAAAGATTCTATAAAAAAAATTCAAAAATAACGAAAAATACAAATTATCCACACTAAACAAGGTTTGTTTGGAAAGTAAAATTGACAGATGTCAATAAAATCTACGTCATCACTCCTTGGTCCATTATGAATCTACTCTGCCTGAATATCCTATGGAACTTATCACCTACTCCGCAGCCTTCTCAAGCCTTAATTGTCACGTAACAACCCCTGTTTGCTACTCGCTCTCTGACATTGCTAAGCAACCCAATTTTATGATGACACAGGTCTATAACATCGATTTTACCTATATTATATTTTATTGTATCCTCCGTTTACAGCAGAATACGAAAAATCTCTCTTACTTATTTAGGCGCTAGTCCGAAAAACACATTAGTGTATTTCTAACACCGCAATTTAAACTTTGTGAGAACCCATTTTTGTGCCATATGACAAGCTCATATACAGGGTGAGTCATGAGGAACTTTACATGTGGCCAGCATATCATGTGGCCACTAAAAAATGTCAACTCCTCTTCTTTATTAATTAACAGGTTGATTTGTGTAATTGACCATTTATTTCATTTTACTGTAGTGTTTATACGGCTCATTTGATTTTTTTAATTTTTGCATGATACAGTACACTACTATCAAGCATTCGACTGGTATTAGCTAAACTAAAAAATTCCAGGACTGGCTTTGGAAAAATTAATTTAGGGATTCGTATTAAATATTACACCCTGTATATATATTTTTTTAAAATGCAATAAGTGATTTTCAAACTACATAAATAGCCAATGAAAACGACATATGCGACAATGTTGTCGCACTTTTATTAAATTTTTAGTGAACGATCAAATCTTACCAAAAATAGAACAACCATAATGAAGTATCAAATTATAAGGTAATTAATTTAAACAAATGTTATAAATTTCAAACATTTTAATTGAAATGATAAACTGAGTCACTGCACAACAAAAAACAGTAACTACTAACAATAACGAAGAACAATTTAAAAAAAAAACTAAAAATATGTACATAGTTATGATAAACCCATAAATTAGAACTGGAAAAGATACAATAATGGTAACAAAATAAAAATAATTCAAAATAGATTTTCGAAATGGAACCCTGCAGCCTGTACACATTTTTGTTGCCGAATTGTTAATTGACGTATTGAATTACGGATACTCTGGGGATCGTTTCTAATAGTATTACAACAATGTATAATTCTATCAATTAATTGTTGTCGGTTATTAATATTCACTGCGTAAACTAGTTGCTTCAATCGTCCCCAAATATGGTAATCAACGGGATTGAAATCAGGGATCTTGAAGGCCACGAAATAGGACCTGCACGTCCTATCCACCTGTTGCCATAAACATTATTGAGATGTTGTCTCACTGCCAGTAAAAAGTGTGGGGGTGCCCCATCATGCTGAAAATACATCCCTCGGATAGCAACGTTCGCGTTGGCAAGCAAATTCGGCAAAATATTTTGTAGAAAGTTCAAATAGACCTGCCCTGTTAAAGGACCATCAAAAAAGTGAGGACCTACTAATTGGTTATTTATGACACCAATCCACACGTTAACCGAAAACCTTAACTGAGAACGACGTTCTCGAATAGCATGGGGATTTTCTTCTGCCCACACATGTGAATTTCGTGAATTATTTATCCCGTCTCTGGTAAATTGGGCTTCATCTGTAAATAGTGTCCTGTATAGCGTTGGTCGATTATTGTTAATCCATCTACAAAATTCCAACCTATCGATCTCATCTCCAGCATGTAGTCGCTGAACCATTTGAATGTGATATGGGTATAGATTATTTTTTTGTAAGACTCTACTTACTTTTGATTGAGTAACATTGAGTTCTCGACTTACTTGTCTAGTGCTTATTGTAGGGTTCATAGTAACGGCGTCCATAATGTCATCTTCCTGCGCTTCATCTACATGTCGCTCTGTTGTTCCACTAGGAAAAGTGCCATTTTCTCGCAAATAATTAAAAACTGACCCAAATGTTGGATGACTGGGAGTTCGACGATTAGGAAATCTCCTGCGATATTCTCTACTAGCAGCCCTACCATTCCCATTACAGAATCCATAAACAAATATTATGTCTGCATATTCTGTGGTCGAAAACTGATGTGGCATTTTGAACGAAAGTAACAAAAGCTCTACCAAAACTAACACAATGTACTTAACGTAGATATGACAGAAGAAATATGTATTCTTGTACACATAAATAACAATTGATAATGACAATAATGACAATGGGTATAAAATATCAAGAAACGTCAAACGGTCAACGCCAACCTTCATTTTAAACTTTTTTAGATTTATTTTTATTTAGTACAGTTGATGCAATGTATTATTATTTGATATAAAATTTTAATCATTTACAATCAACAAAAACTAACACATACAAGAGGTTTGACTTTTTAATCAATTTAATTTATTATTTATCGAAAATAATGCCCCAATACGATCTATGAGTAAAAATTTAAAATTGAAAAACAATTGATTCTATCGTAGAGATAATACAAAGTGACAGTAAAGATGTTAATTTTCTACGTATTAGATTATGTTGTAGGAACTCATTTTAATTAAAATGTTTGAAATTTATAACATTTGTTTAAATTAATACCTTATAATTTGATACTTCATTATGGTTGTTCTATTTTTGGTAAGATTTGATCGTTCACTAAAAATTTAATAAAAGTGCGACAACATTGTCGCATATGTCGTTTTCATTGGCTATTTATGTAGTTTGAAAATCACTTATTGCATTTAAAAAAAAATATATACAGGGTGTAATATTTAATACGAATCCCTAAATTAATTTTTCCAAAGCCAGTCCTGGAATTTTTTAGTTTAGCTAATACCAGTCGAATGCTTGATAGTAGTGTACTGTATCATGCAAAAATTAAAAAAATCAAATGAGCCGTATAAACACTACAGTAAAATGAAATAAATGGTCAATTACACAAATCACCCTGTTAATTAATAAAGAAGAGGAGTTGACATTTTTTAGTGGCCACATGATATGCTCCCTGAGGGACTCTACATATGGTAGAAGTATATAAAGTTCCTCATGACTCACCATGTATAAATTAAAATATTTCTTAGTTTTCCGTAATAACTGCGCAAAACAGCTACATAAATTCGTTTCTTATCCGTTTTTTACAATAAACAAATTTAAATTCTATACACTGAACTTTATTACTATTTTTTAGGACTGTTTGGATGTTTATGGACGATTCTTTGGCTTACGCTTACATCAAACTCACCAGCTCAAGACTCGCGTATCTCACAGTCGGAGTTACTTTTTATTACACAAAATGGAGAGGAAAATTCGACAAAAGAAAAATTTGTAATTCCGTGGTGGTGCATCTTAACGTCTGTACCAGTATGGGCATTGACTATATCAGTAGCGTGTAAGGCGTGGGGTTTCTTTGCTCTGTTAAGTCATTTGCCACAGTTCGTTAAATGTAAGTTTATTTTAATTTGCTTTTTATTTTTTTTACGTTGAATCATAAAATTTTTATACGTCACTATCTAATTCAATTTAATTAAAAACAATGACTGTCAACACTAAAGGGATTAGAAGAAACCATAAAGGTTGAACTGTATATTTGCGCTGGTTATGAACTTCTTGTTGAATAAACTCGAATAAATTAATTAAAACTTTGACAAAATAAAAAACGTGTTCGTCCATTAAAGAAACAATTTATTCCCTCTTACAATGTTATCGTTCAGGAAATGTTGTGCTAACTGGCCCGTAATGTGAAGTTCAAACAAAGACCAATATTTATATTGTTCCACTTATGTGGCAGCTTACCCACGTGTCATCTAAAATGGCGGCAAAATTTGAGAATAAAAACTTGAAATGGAAATATTGAAAATAAATCTCTTTCAGAGAAATTTTCTCTAGGTGAGATATATGTAAGGCAATCTTTACCTAAGAAACTCTTTGACTGCGTGTCTGCACCCTATATAAGCACAGGGAGGTTACATTAATTGAAAATCTTTCATTTTTGGGAGATTTATTTTTAGGCATTCTAGTTGAGAAGACCTAAAAAATATTGTATCAACAGTCAATCACACTGTTCAGACAATCAGAGATTATCTTAAAAAAGATTTAAGTGAAACAATGGAAAATAGTGGCACAGGACTAAAGATAACTAAAGGCAATAGTAACGTGGTGAAGATTCACAAAGAGTTGCAACGCCATTGATGATAATGATGTCGCCAAGCTTCATGTACTGTCTTCAGCATTTTTATTGTATTATCGATATAAAGTCATGGTTATGGTTATGATAAATAGGGTCAGGACTTATTTGTGAGCTTTTTAGACATTTAGACCTCCTAAGACAGATCCATTGTCCTATCATAGGCCCATAAGGACCTAGTCTTTGGTGTTTCTGGGTGCAGCCTGCTCCAGGCTCCTTCATCTGCTATAATCAGCAAGAGCTCCTCATCTGAGCTCTTCCTGCCGTTCTAAGAGTCTAATCCTTTAGTAGCCTTAGCTTTTAATAACCTAGAATCTGCCACCTCTGATAGGCCATAACAGGGCAATTCCAGAGGACATGAGAGGAGGTTTTCTTCCTTCCCATCACAAAGACGGCATCGTGGGCCATCCGCCAATCCAAGCAGATGAAAGTGCCACCTGAGTCTACAGCGACTGGTAAGTAGACTACCAGAGATCATTTTCTACGGTCTAAAAGAAGAAGTTGAGCTGTAAGACTTTTGAATGGCCCACTATTTGGAGCCTAGCCTTTCTTATACCTCCACAATCGACTTAGAAGTCCTGGAACGTCCGCAGAAGAAGCTTTTCGAGACTACCCCGACTAGTACTGAACTACTTTAATCTTTAATACTTTAATCTCAGGTTCGGGTCCCACAGGCAGAGTGGATGAGCCCTGTCTTGTCAGGGCATTAGCCCGTTCGTTCCCTTTCAGGCGTGTGTATTCCGGTACCCATAACAAGTTAACCCTATTGGTCAGGACATCAGCAAGTGCTTTCTTGTACTCAAAAACTAGCTTAGAGCTGACTTTGGGGCTTCTAAAGCCGTTAGCGCTGCTTGACTGTCAGAGAAGATAGAGATGGTCCTATCTGAGCACGAAAGACTAATGTATGGAAACCGAGTGCCTGTCTAGATTAAAATTTAGTTCCGTTACCATCGATACGACGTTGTATTAGGACTATTTTATATATTTTTAAATAAAGTGCCGCATAGAAAAGGCAAGAACGGTCTTTAACAAAATGAGCGCCATCTTCAAAAGTCACAAAATATCCCGTGATACAAAAATGAGACATTTGAGATGCTATGTGTTGTTGATGTTTTCTCTGTGTTGTTGTACGGGGCGGAGGCATGGACGCTTACAGACACCACTATTAAAAAACTTGAAGCATTTGAGATGTGGCTTTATAAAAGAATGCTGAGAATATCATGGACAGCAAGGATCACGAACAAGGAACTTCTAGGAAAAATGAAGAAGGAACCAGAGATTGTGTTTACTATCAAACGCTAAAAATTGCAATATCTGGGATACGTTATGAGAAATCAGCACCGCTACTCACTGCTACAGTCTATATTGCAAGGTAAAGTCAAAGGTAAGCGAGGACCCGGTAGAAGGAGAATATCATGGCTGCGGAATTTAAGAACATGGTTTAAGAAAACCTCAACGGAGCTGTTTCGAGCCGCAGCGAGCAAGGTTATGATTGCCAATATGATTTCCAACATCTGAAACGGATAGGAACCAGAAGAAGAAGAATATATTTTTAAGTTCTGCGATAAATAATTTGGAGAAACTAGTCTCTTTTTGACGCATTCCTCTTGCAATTCAATATTTCTTAGTATTTTTATGGAGTCTACTTGCTATAGCTTTTTTATTAAAATGTTTAATAATTAAAGTATATCGGTGTTCTTATGTTGGATCACTAAACGATTTCTCATAGTATACAAGTATCAGAGAAAGAGGTTTATATCCTCTTTATTCTGTTTTCTATAAGGTTCTTTATGTAAACATGTAAACTGATTATAAAATCTGTTAGCGTTTTCCTCTTCTTCTGACTTTTCTTAGACTTACATCGTCCCATTTAATTTTTTCCATTTCTTTATCAAGTTTTAGGAGCTTCTGATCTGATAACAACATTCGTGTGAAGAAACTACTTGAAATTATTATCTTTATTTCTAGCGCAATCTAGTCAGGAGATTAAGCTCACCTTACTCTCGTGGTCTGGTTTGGCCGCGACCAAACTCAGAGATTTCTGAGCTGATTGAGGGTTATTTTTCGTTCTTTCCATTAATATATTCTTAAGGGTTCTTTTCCTTGTTTGATATTTTGCTGTAATAGGAATTTTCCTCCCATACTAAGCTGTGAGCGCCTAGTTAGTTTTCTAGCTGGATACACTGAGTAGCTTTTAGGTTTCCTCTCTTTCAAGTAATATTGATATTTGGAGATCTTAACACAAATTCCCGAATAATTAGTACAGGCGACAACGCCTGTATGCATCTTTAAAGCACTTTAAAGTTCGTAACTTCTTTCAAAGTCACAATTTTTGTTCTGAGATTATAAATGCATTACCCTAAAACTGTTTTTTTTGGCATTTATTTGACGACTGAATACAATATTACAATTTTCTTTTTTACTCATTTTTTCTTGATACTAGCCAAATTGCCACTTTTAGGTTTATACACTTTTAGTATGTGTCATCAATATATCTCATATGGATATGGTCCAGACTCCAAAGTCCCACTAGTGATTTATCTCAAGTGATATTTTCTTCTTCTCTAGTGTTAATAAAACACAATAAATTTAATCATATGCAAACGTAGTAGCATTAGAAAGTTAAACTAATGCGAAACTAAAAGAAAAAAGCTTCACCCAAATCGACAACATAAGAAAAATGAACCTTATCATAAACGTATTGCTTAAAAATAGTAAAACCAGTGGAATAAGGAGATTTTGGTATTTCCCAATGTATCAAAATAACTTAAGACTTGTAAAGCAGATGCTACGTTATCTTAAATAAGGTGAATATCATGTGTTAAGTGAATTTTTTTCCGTATATTTGATATTAAATTTATTAGAACGAAGCTAATTTCAATAATTTAAAAACACATTATACTTAAATATGATATTTTAATGAATATTTTTATAAATTTATTTTTTAGATTGTCTAAATTATGATCTCAAAGACGCAGGATTTGTATCAGCTATGCCATATTTGGCTATGTCTGTGTTACTTCAGCTCACTGGACGGTTCTCCGATTATATCGAAGGAAAGCAAGTTATTACTACTACCAATGTGAGAAAGCTTCTAGTAGTTGGAGGACTGCTGGTCCAATGCGTTTTTATGGTGCTCGTCGTCCATTGGTTATCCATCTTTGGCAGCAATTTCTGCCTTATTATGGCTGTAGGTTTGGGAGGTTTGCCGATGGCTGTTTTTACGTAAGCTTATTAAATATAATTATTACTAGTTACATATCATCAACTTATAATTTTATTTTCAAACCGAATCTACCAAATTACTTTCTTTAACACTTCGCCTCACAGATGGCTCTTTTATTTGACAGCTAATATTTTGTACCTCAAGTATCTCTAGTCTGTGCAATTTACTAAATATCATATCTTTTAACAAACTATCTTTTTTAGGGTTAATCCTCTAGATCTCAGTCAAAAATATGGAAGTATTATCGGAGGTATAGCACATACATTTGGAACTATTTCTGGGATTCTAGCTCCAACTTTAACAGGATATATCGTTACCGAAGAAGTAAGTTTAACAAATAGGAACAAAATATTATAGGAAAGATATAAAAGATAAAAAAATTTTAAGAAACATCTTAGGGCTAATCAAAGAAAAATATAGGCAACCGAAACGTGACTTACATAAATAACCACAGCGGAGACGTAGACGATCAGAGGGAGAAAAATATTATACCAACAGAAGAAGAAGTTGCCAAGGCAATAAAAAGGTTAAAAAACAACAAATCCCCTGGAGAAAATGGTATACCCCCTGAGATGTTCAAGTATGGGGCAAACGCGCTAAAAAAAATACATAATAAAACTTGTTGCATCCATTTGGAGAGAAGGAAAATTCCCAGACAGTTTTAATGTAGGTATTATAATACCTATTCACAAGAAAGGGGATCCACTAATATGTGACAACTATCGAGGCATTACGCTCTTAAATACGGCTTACAAAGTACTGGCTTATACACTTTATGATCTTTTACTATTATATACTGAGGAAAAAATAGGCAAATACCAATGTGGATTCCGAGAAGAAATGTCAAAAATTGATTAGATTTTCCTTCTCAGACAAACCTTAGAAAAGACATATGAATATGGAATTGATATCCACCACCTCTTTATAGATTTTAAAAGCGCTTATGACAGTGTAGACAGAAGAGCACTTTTTAATGCCATAGAAGAACTAAATATTCCGTCGCATCTAATAACATTGGTAAAGGCAACTCTTTCAAAAGTTAAGTGCAAAGTCAAGGTACAAAACAGAGTGTCAAGGTCTTTTCAAACATATACTAAATTACGCCAGGAAAACAGTCTATCGTGTCTATTGTTTAACATCGCGCTAGAAAGAGCCATAGAGAAAGTATACAGATATTGGCCTACGTAGATGACATTGACATAGTAATACGGACAAAAAGAGGCCTAATACAGGCTTTTGAAACATAGAAAAAGCCGCGAAAACTATATAACTGCAGGTCAATGTATCCAAAACAAAATACATAAAGGTCACGAACAGCACACAAATAGCGGCACCCCAAGATTTAGTGACAGAAGCACACACATTCGAAGGGGTATCGGAGTTTATTTTGTCGCCAACATTGTTCAATGTTTACTCGGACCAGTTATTTAAAAAGACACTTGAAACACAACCATATGGAATAAAAATCAACGGGGAACTACTTAATGTGAATAGATATGCAGACGATACAGTAATTATATTAGATGATATTGAAGGTCTTAAAATTCTGCTCGATCGTATTCACGAGGTAGGAGAGGAAATGGGCATTAACATAAACTCAAATAAAACCAAATTTTTGGTGTTTAGTCGTGACCCACATCCCGATGCAAAGCTTCAATTGAACGGAGTCCAAGTTGAGAGAGTTCACCAAATGACATATTTGGAAACTGTGATAATGGACCAACTAGATCCAGACATAGAAATAAGACGTAAAATAGCAATGACTAAAACTACTTTTATGAAAATGAACTCATTTCTTTGCAATAACTATCTAAGTTTAGAACTAAGGCAAATAATGGTTAAGTGCTATGTTTGGTCTGTACTTTTGTATAGTGCAGAAGTGTAGACGATAAAAGTATCGATCATAAACAAAATTGAAGCATTGGAAATGTGGGTTCATAGATGAATGCTGAAAATACCTTGGACAGCAAGAAAAACTAATGAAGAAGTACTAAGGAGCTTCAACAAAGACAGAGAACTGCTAAAGACTGTTTAATATCGAAAGATGTCTTATCTGGGACATATAGTAAGGGGCAGTCGATATAAAATTTTACAACTGATCCTTAAAGGCAAAATAGAGGGCCGTAGAGGTGTAGGAAGAAAACAAATTTCTTGGTTAAAAAACATTCGTGAATGGACTCAGATACCAAATGCAGGACAATTATTTCATATTGCAGAAGATCGAGAAGCCTTCGCAATGGTGATCGCCAACGTCGGATAAATCTGATATGGCACGCGAAGAAGAAGATCTGTTACTTTGGACTAAAGCAATTTTCAATATCACACATAATTAGGGGAAAAACCAAGGTACTAATATATGAAACTATTATTAAACCTATCCTGACATACGCGTCAGAGACATGGACTATGGTAAAAAGCGACGAAGAACTGTTAGACCGCTTTGAAAGAAGAATACTTAGCCACATATACGGAGGAGTAGGTAGAATAATAGGTAGGAATAGACTAAGGTGACACCTTAAAAGAATGGACACTAGAGACCCCCAAAGACAGATATTATATCAAGAGCCAGTAGGAACCAGGAAGAGAGGCAGGCCAAGATCTCGATTTAAAATTCAAGTCAAAGATGACTTGAGGAATCTAGAGGTTAGGAATTGGAAAGCTAGGGCGAAAGATAGGGGGGAATGGAGACTAATTCTTGAACAGGTCAAGACCCATCCAGGGTTGTAGAGCCAAAAATGACGATGAATCAAAGAAAAATGAAAAATTTTGTGGAAGACACAATCATAAGTTATATGAAGACTTCAAAGACATTGTTACCAAAATAAGAAAATGGAGAATGACGTTTTATGGTTACTTCGAATGATGGAATTCTCAAAGACAGTTATTGCATTAACCTTTTAATCTCAAGATTATCATATTATTCACAATTAGTCCAGGCTGTGAGGCCGCTCCCGTTGGGAAAATGTTTCTGATTCGGTTTCTTCGCGGATTCCGGTTCAAAAATGTCCCCTTTAAACAAATCTGAAGAGTGCCGGGCGAAATTTTTGGGCAGAAATTGTTTTAAACAATTTTTTTTAAACAAATTCCAAAAATATTTTTTTTAATCTGGAAAACGTTTTTTTAGGTTATGTGGGTCATTTTAAACAAAAAAGGTCTCTTAGTTAGTCCCGAGTTATAAGCGATTTAAAGTCTGAGAAACGCAAAAATACGTATTTTTGAGGCTTGAAAACACATATGTAAATTATTATTTTTGAGGTTACCAAGTGTCTAAATTGAAGTTTAAACATTCAACTTCAAGATTGTGAAGAGTAATCGGGGCTTATTTTAATTTAGACCGTTGTTTTTTAATTGTTAAGTATGCGCGTACACTCGATTTTTCAGCCGCCGCGGCGCGGCGCTCTAGAGTGCGCTTCTATCGTACTTATGCATAGTTTACATATACACTTACGCTAAAAAACCCGAACAAATCCTTGAAGTTTATTAACATAGTTTTTTCCATAATTTATTTATGTAGGTATTAATTATTGTCATTGGGCTAATTAAATAAATCAATCAACGCAATGTAATAACCGTATATAGTTTTTTTTTCTTCCAAATTTGAACAATATAATTATTATTTATTGAGTATACATTTATTTATATCAATTGTAACTAACATTTTTAAATTATTATTTAAATAATACAATGCAGTAAATATTAATATTAGTAAACTTAATTTTAGATTGCGCAGTGTTTAAAAACAATATACTATCGCTAACATGCAAGTTTTTACCTGTTTAACAATCGCGCGCTCATACTTGATTTGTTATTAATTAAACGATCATTAGGAAGACTATTGTTTAATGCCCATTAAAAGGGTATTATATTATTAATGTGTTATTAAAAAAAATTGTGAATGGATTTAAAATGTCTTTTTCCGTACCTCTTCTTAAATGAAAACTTACCTAAGAAAATTTAGTTTGTATTTTTTGTAATAACATCAACAATATTAAGTTTAAGTGCAAAAACCTAAAGTAGATTTTTACATAACAATACAAAATGCTGCTCTTCGACGAAAAGACAGTGTGACTGAAAAATTTAATTTAATCTAGCTAATATACCTTGTACCTCTGACGCACTTTACTAACACTTGTTAAGAGCTTTCGCTAAAACATATATTAGACATATATCAAACTCTCGATTTTACACAATATGGATATTATAAATATGTCTGATAGTAGTGGGTTGGGAAACCGTGCAAATGCAAAAAGACTTGCAAAACTAATGCTTGCAACTGCAAGAAAAATCATGTCAACTGTGTACCATTATGTGGATATGATTTAGATTTTTGTGAAAACACAGATACTTTTACTGAGTGATATTAGTGTGTTATTTAACAATCTTTTGTACAATTATTTTATGTAACTATTATTAGACTTTAGACGAAATTTGTATTATAACTCAATTGATATAAATAAATATATACTCAATAAATAATAATTATTTGTAAGTATATGTAAACTATGCATAAGTACGATAGAGGCGCACGGTAGCGCGCAGCGCCGCGGCGGCTGAAAAATCGAGTGTACGCGCATACTTAACAATTAAAAAACAACGGTCTAAATTAAAATAAGCCCCGATTACTCTTTACAATCTTGAAGTTGAATGTGTAAACTTTAATTTAGACACTTGGTAACCTCAAAAATAATAATTTACATATGTGTTTTCAAGCCTCAAAAATGCGTATTTTCGCGTTTTTCAGACTTTAAATCGCTTATAACTCGAAAACTGTCAACTTTAGAGAAAAATGACAATAGACTTTTTTTGTTTAAAATGGCCCAAAAAACCTAAAAAAACGTTTTTTAGATTAAAAAAATATTTTTGGACTTTGTTTAAAAAAATTTGTTTAAACAATGTCTGCCCAAAAATTTCGCCCGGCACCCTTCAGATTTGTTTAAAGGGGACATTTTTGAACCGGATTCCGCGAAGAAACCGAATCAGAAACATTTTCTCAACGGGAGCGGCCTCACAGCCTGGACTAAATAGGAAAAGAGGTTATAAAACATTTGCAATAAGCGAAAATTCTACCTGGTGACCTTGTGATATTATTCCTAGTATATTAAACTTCGTAAATAATCTTAGTCATATTTTACATTGCGTTATTGTGTAACTGGGAATATGTTTATTCAAGAATGGGGAACGCACGCGGTAGGTCAAGTTTAACAAATACATATAACTATAACCAATACCTTAATTTGACTAATTACAAACAATCCAAGTGTAGCCTTGTCTACACATTCCTAAAAAAGTTGACCTGAGTTGAATTTTGAGTAAGAGATACTCAAAATCGACTATGAATCTTATTTCTCAGACTATCCCAGCTCCTCTCCCACTAGCAAGTGGTCACAAGAAAGGAAAGAGGAACATTCAATTAAAATGAGTTAACTTTAAAATATAATATACTAATGGGAAATTTTTTTAACCTTTTTCAATATTATCATAACAAAATTGATAATAACATCATTTCTTACTTTCAGACCAACGTAGAACAATGGCGCCTTGTGTTCTACATAGCCAGTTGTATATATTTAGTTGGAGCTATAACCTTTGGAGTTTTTGGATCCGGTGAGCAACAACCTTGGAACAATTCTAACATTTTACCTATTGATAAAGAGACGAATGAAGTACAATGTTACGAAAACAAAGACTTTGAGTCCGAAGTAGCGTCTTAGTTGTTTTATTTGTGTATTTATTAAATAAATTTTTAATTAAGTTAATTTTGTCGTTATTACAATATATTCGCAATGTGGAAACGGCTGCTTATTACAAACTTTTTACGACTGAATCGGAATCAATAGAACGGTATAACAGTTATTTCAGTATCTCTACTTCGTCAGCCGTTCAAGCTGATTCCGATTCAAACCGAAAAGTCCAACTAATGTCTTCAAAATATTACCACTTTCGGTGGTTTGAGCAAGAGGTGTCAGCTGCCTTGGTGACGAAGAACTAAACAATTAAATATATTGTTTTCTGTCATAATAATGTGTTTTAAGTTGTGTTTAAAAAGTTTATAAGGAAAGTGGAAGCAGTTTGTTTAGATTGGCATGGTAAATTGAAGACCTTGATTGAAAACTATGATGCCCAAGACATTTTTAATACTGATGAAACTGGCCTACTTTTCAAATGTTTAACGGACAAAACGATTTCTTTTTAAGATGAAAAATGTCATGGGAGAAAACATAGTAAAGATAGGTTGACAGTTTTACTTGAAGTAAATATGGACGGAAACTTAAACTCTTATAGTCCAGGCTGTGAGGCCGCTCCCGTTGGGAAAATGTTTCTGATTCGGTTTCTTCGCGGATTCCGGTTCAAAAATGTCCCCTTTAAACAAATCTGAAGTTTGCCGGACGAAATTTTTGGGCAGAAATTGTTTAAACAATTTTTTTAAACAAATTCCAAAAATATTTTTTTTTAATCTGAAAAACGTTTTTTTTTTAGATTTTTTGGGTCATTTTAAACAAAAAAGTTCTCTTATCATTCTATAAAGTTGACAGTTTTTAAGTTATAAGCGATTTAAAGTCTGAAAAACGCGAAAATATGCATTTTTGAGGCTTGAAAACACATATGTAAATTATTATTTTTGAGGTTATCAAGCGTCTAAATTGAAGTTTAAACATTCAACTTCAAGATTGTGAAGAGTAATCGGAGCTTATTTTAATTTCGACCGTTGTTTTTTAATTGTTAAGTATGCGCGTACACTCGATTTTTCAGCCGCCGCGGCGCGGCGCGCTATCGTGCGCCTCTATCGTACTTATGCATAGTTTACATATACTTACGCAAAAAAAATCCGAACAAATACTTGAAGTTTATTAACATAGTTTTTTCTATAATTTATTTATGTAGGTATTAATTATTGTCATTGGGCTAATTAAATAAATCAATCATCGCAATGTAATATGTACATCGCAATGTACATTACATCGTTTTTTAAAGATTCAATGGTTGCTCGAATACATGTGGTGTTTGACAGATACGATGATTTTAGTATCAAATATTAAGAAAATTTACTGAGAGCCAACGATACTAATGCTTTAGAGGCAATCATTCAAAACGCAGAAACGAAAGTTGATACTACTGTTAAAGCTTTTATGTCAAACCCAAAAAATAAACTTAAACTAGTCAAATTTTTATGTCAGAATTCTCATAAATATGTTTCTTTAAATAATGATCAAAATGTATTCATTTTTTGGCGGGTTTCCTGATGAGGAAAAGTGTTATCAACTAGTAGGGCATACTATGTTTAAAATACCTGAATTACAAAGCAACCATCTTAAAGCTGATACAAGAATTTTTTCGAACGCAATATACAAGTTTTCCACGGATTCTGAGATACTAATTCACAGCGTGGATACCGACGTTTTTGTATTAAGAGTGCACTTCTGGCATTTTTTTAAATCAATAGGTTGTAAAGGTATATATTTCCATATACATAGCCAGAAATTAAGAATTCTAGCTTGTCACATTGCAGCTGAGTTTCTTTCACCAGTAGTGTGCGAAATCTTACCAGAATTACATGCAATTACAGGCTGCGACACAACAAGCAAAGTAGATACGAAAAAAAGGCTTTAGATTTAATTGATTCAGAAAAACTATATTTAGGAGCACTTTCTGTGTTTGGAATAAGTGCGTTTGACATTACACAGATTAAAACACTAGAAAAACTGTACTTGCAATTAATAGGCAAAATGGGAGAATCCGTAAACGATGCAAGAAAAACAATTTTTAACAGATCGTGTGGCTTAGGAATTAATCTAGCCAATATACCTTGTACCTCTGACGCACTTTACCAACACTTGTTAAGAGCTTTCGCTTAAACATATATTTGGCGAAATGCCATATATTCTCGCTATCAAACTCTCAATTTTACACAATATGGATATTATATGTCTGATATGGTGGGTTATTACCAAGATTTATAACTCAAAACCCATTACCAGAAACACTGGTGAAACCGTGCAAATGCTAAAAGACTTGCAAAACTAATGCTTGCAACTGCAAAAAAAATCATGTCAACTGTGTACCATTATGTGGATGTGATTTAGATTTTTGTGAAAACAAAGATACTTTTACTGAGTGATATTAGTGTGTTATTTAACAATCTTTTGTACAATTATTTTATGTAACTATTATTAGACTTTAAATAAGATGTAGTTTATATTTTACGAAATTTATATTATAACTCAATTGATATAAATATATACTTAATAAATAATAATTATTTGTAAGTATGTGTAAGTATGTGTAAACTATGCATAAGTACGATAGAGACGCACGATAGCGCGCCGCGCCGCGTCGGCTGAAAAATCGAGTGTATGCGCATATTTAACAATTAAAAAACAACGGTCTAAATTAAAATAAGCCCAGACTACTCTTCACAATCTTAAAGTTAAATGTTTAGTCTTCAATTTAGACACTTGGTAACCTAAAAAATAATAATTTACATATGTGTTTTCAAGCCTCAAAAATGCGTATTTTCGCGTTTTCAGACTTTAAATCACTTATAACTCGAAAACTATCAACTTTGGAGAATAATGACACCAGACCTTTTTTGTTTAAAATGACCCAAAAAAAAATTAAAAAAACAATATCCAGATTAAAAAAAATTATTTTTGTAATTTGTTTAAAAAAATTGTTTAAACAATTTCTGCCCAAAAATTTCTCCCGGCACCCTTCAGATTTGTTTAAAGGGGACATTTTTGAACCGGAATCCGCGAAGAAACCGAATCAGAAACATTTTCCCAACGGGAGCGGCCTCACAACCTGGACTATTAGTAATTGGAAAAGCAATGAAACCGCGATATTTCAAAGGTGTGAAATCATTTCCTACGGATTATCGTGCTAACAAAAAAGTTTTGATGCCGACAGAACTTTTTAACTATTGGCTTTTAACAGTTAATGAGGACATGAAACGAAAAAAGTTCCAACGTGGAACTCTACTTCTTTCTGACAAATACAACTTCCAAATTGCAACCACTAGACCAAGGGATCATCTATAATTTTAAGACGTTTTATCGCAAAGAAATTGTTAAGCTTGTTATAGAATTTCTTGACAAGCAGCTAACTGCTAATATCACGGTTCTGATAGCTATTTTACTGATTAACAAGGCATGGAGAGGTGTAAAACCCCTAACAATTCTGAACTGCTTAAAAAAATACGGTTTATTAAAAAAAGATCAGGAAAATCTTCCAATACTTATAAATGATGAAGAACCAGTCATAGAACCATTAATTAACATCAGCGGTGTGAGTTTTTCTGACTTTGTTGAAGTGGATGAAGATGTTGCTATCTCAGATTCACTAACCGATGGTGGAATTGTATCTGCGACAGTAACGAATAAAAAAAGTAATTTCCTAAGCAAGATCCTTATTTAATACCTTACAAACATTCTGTCTACAAAAGGAAAGTGATGAAAATGTAATGAATTTGGTTTCGAAAATTAGTTTACGGATTGATGAAAAAGTATTTTTTCGCTTAAAAAAAATTATTGAGCAGTCTGAGCAGCAGCAATGTGCTGTAAAGCAAACCAGTATAATACAGTTCTTTCGATAGATTGATCAATTCACATTATGAATGCATACATACAAGACATAACCCAAAAAGTAGTTTCAGAAGTAAAATGGGGTTTCTGAACGAAAATTATTGTTTAAATAAACATAAAGGACAAATTCAATTAATTTAAAGTGACAAATGACATGACGAGTAGAATTACCAACACACAAATAAGTTTTGGAGCTAGTTGGAACTAAATTGAAGTAAGTATACGGTGAGATAGTACGAGGCTAAATGAGAACTAAACTAAAATAATTAAATATGTAGATTAAATAATAAAGAATAAACAAAACATTTAATTAATAGAAGTTGAGTGCCAACTATTTTTAAAAGAAAAATAGAAAAAACAAAACAGGAGGTTAACAAATAAATAAAATAAAAAGAAATTGAGGTAGAATAATTATTTAAAAAATAATAACAAACATGTGACGTTTATAACGTTAGAATATCATTTGTAAATTTATTTCAGATAAATGAGAAAATGTATTAGGTACCTTAAAAAAAAGCTCATGCAGATTATGATTCTGTCTTGTTTTAATGTTGTTAACTTAATTATTTTCTGTAAAATAGACAAGATTACAACGAATAAAAATACAAATTTCAAAAATGTATAACACAGAAATTAAAACTTTGTACTGACTATAATAATTCTTTTGTTTATTCGAGAAACATCACTAATATAACAAATTATTTTTTGTGATAGGAAAACTTTATTAAATTTGGACGACATTACAAAATACTACCCCATATCTTAATCTAGGGCTGCCTGGGCATGATACAACATAATTAGTTGATCCTCATTTAGTACATTTCGCAGATTCCAAAATAAGTAACACACAAGTTTATATCGGAATTAAGCGTCACCGTGTTTCTTCCAGTCGAGGCATTCGTCAAAATACAAACCCAAGAATTTTAATTCGCTAATTTGTTTCATATTAATTTTTAGGTCAACATTCAACAACTTTTTTATTTGGTATAATAATAGAATTAAATACCATGTGTTGCTTTAGAATTAAGATGGCAATAATTAGTAGAAAACTACTCCACCAAGTAAATTGGCAGAACTAAATAGTAAATTATTGATACAATTATATTTAAGTATGTAAAAAACAAGATAGGATC